TCCCGCCGCCCGAGCACCCGCTGCTGCTGCTGCCCGGCGCGGAGCTGGCGCGGAGGATCCGCCGCAGGGAGGTGAGCGCGCGCGCGGGCGGGCGGGCGCGGAGCCGGGCGGGCGGGCGGCGGGCGCCCCGAAAGGGCGGTCTGGGGAGTGCAGCGGGCCCTCTCTGGCTGGCGCGCCGTCGGAAGCGGAACGAAGCAACCGAGCCCTCCAGTGCAAATACGGATAAGCACCAGTATCTTACTGGCACGGCTGAAGGGGAAGGGCTCTGAATGGGAAGGGCACCCAAGCTCAGGCATATGAAGGATAAAGTGCAAGGCACCTGGATGCTGCTGCGTGCAAGCCTGTAGCCTCTCTAGAGCAGAGGTTGCATGGCCCAGATTTACGTAGTGTACAAAAAGAATCTCCTTTTGCTAGTTGTGTAGAGGGCTGTGTTCTGAAAACAGCTTCAGGGCAAGATACGTGAAATTGCCCTTCCACCCAACCCTGGAGATAGCATCTTGGGGGGAAGAGTAATGATCCGGACATGCATGACAGCATGTGCCCTGGACTTGTGTGGATGAGGAGAAAGGAGCCCAGGCAAAACCACAGCCTTGCTCACTTCCCTCCTCCCGCTTGGCCAGCAGAGAACTAAAATAAAATTTAATTTCAAGTTGCCCAGTTCTTGTTTGTCGTTACATGCAGAGTCTGAAAACTTTGACTGTCCAACAGGTGGTCTTGCAGAGTGTTGGCCTACAGCTTCTGTTGACCTTGGGCAGTACATTCAGATCCAGCACATCAGGGAAGGATGCTGTAGCTGAGTGCAAAACAAGTCAAATTTGAACCAGCAGTTATGAAGCTGTCTTGTTTAACAAGCTAAACTTTATTTTATTTATTTATTTATTAAAACATCTCTATGCTGCCCCATTCGCCAAAGCCTCGGGGCGGCTCACAACATAAAATTAAAATACAAGAAATAACAATGTAAAATAAGTCGCCCTGGCCAGATAAAATAAGCAAATAATATTAGCAATTAAAATGACGCTTAAATAAAAAGGTCTTGGCCTGGCGCCGAAAAACAAATAACGACGGCGCCAGGCAGACCTCTCTGGGGAGCATATTCCATAGGTTGGGCGCCACCGCAGAGAAAGCCCTCCTCTGGGTACTCACCCTCCTAATGTCCTTCACGGAGGGCTCCCAGAGAAGCAACTCTGCCGCCGATCTCAAGGGGCGGGCGGGCGGGCATATATGGATGTAAGCGCTCCTTCAGGTATTTTAAAATACAATTCTTGGTCCACCCAGCGCGACAACTAGAAATCTGCTAAAGTTTGGAATCCTGGTTCCTCAGAGCTGTGTGGGTGCAGGGAGAGTTCTTGAACCTGGGACTCAACACAGGATTTTTTAAATGTTTGTGTACATTGTACTAAATATTTGTTTTATGCAAATTTATATACACAGTGCTGAAATCCTTTGTGGGATGCAGATGTGATTTGTAATTGTTTTCAGAGTACACAAATAAATAATAGTTTAAGGCTACATCTGACCACTGTTACAATCATAAAGGTGCATCCCAAGAATAAACCCCACTTGCAGTTGAAGTTCCCAATCCAGTTGAAGTCACCCAAAGTACCCAGGGGAAGATAGTGGAAATCTGATATGAACACTTCTATGCTTTTGCGAAATTCATGCAGATAGTTCAGTTAATAAGAGAATAATTACTTCTGATTAAATGATTTTTGTTTGCATTCCCATTAACAGCTGAAAGGTAGTTTCGCAATGTACAATTACGTAGATCATCTTGCCTTATCTATACCCAACTAAATAGGTCATAAAAGGATAGATCAATTCACCTCTCTGGCAAGGTGCTATTTAAGAAAGTATGAACCACACTGTTTAAGCTCATGGCCTAATTTTATTGCCCTGTAATCCTGACCTTGCATAAGTAAATCCCATTTTGTTTCACTGGCACTTACCTTAATTAAGTTTCATGTCATGTGCTGTAACTTTTGAATAGTTTTGTGACTTGCTCTGTGTCAGGAGAATTCCGCTCCCCCTCTTTCCCCAGCAATTACTGGCATTCTTGGTGTGTGTTGCCAGTAGACTAGGAATCTCGAAGGCAGTTTAGGAAAAGTCCTGCATCTTCTGTGCAATCATGGGTAATTTTTTGAAGATATTGATTGATTGATTGATTGATTTAAACAACTTATATGCCGCCCCCTTCGCATGAGCCACGGGGCGGCTTCCAACAATATATAAATACATAAAATAGTGGAGATTTTGAATGCTGTTCATATTCTAGCTTATCTAGAACCTGTAGTTTAGCCTTGTCTGTGGACGTACAGGTACAGAGGAGCAACAGTTAGCTATACTTGTTCGAAGGGGGTGTTTGCTGCTCAGTCTTCCTTCCTTCCATATTTTCACATCCATCTGTCTGAAGCTTCTCTTACCTAAACAAACTCAGCTATTTAGGAAACTGTGTGAAAAGAAGAGTTGCTGAATCCTCCCATTTAGTTATTCTCTCTGGACAGTCTTATCCAGGTAAACATTTAAAATGGCTAACCCATGCTGGGTGTTTTCTGAGGCTCCTGTGGTGAAATGTTTGTGTGAATGGGCGCTCTGTAAAAGCAACATAGGGCTGCAAGCATGTTAAATGTTGAATGAGCTTGCTGTTAGGAACGTGGCCAGAGCTTTTGTTGAATTTTGGTTGGCCTTTGGCCTGATACAGCAGCACTCTTCTTAGGAGCTTCAAATCTGATTTCCTTATTTTCAGCCCAGCACTTTATTCACTACCAGCACATTGACTGTTGGCACTTATAACAACTGATGAAACAAAACATCTGAAACATCTAGTAAGGCGTGCAAGAAATCCTTTCATGAAGACAATTTGGTTTCTGCTTTGTTGCAGGTCAAATGCATTGAGGTCATTGAAACTTATATTGAGAGGATCAGACAAGTCAATCCGCTGATCAATGCCGTTGTCAAAGACAGGTGAGCTTCATAAAGCCCAGAGTTTCTAGTCCACAGATATGTAGCAAGCTAGGCAGGGGTTGCAGGCTGCTTGGGTGTCTTTGCTGTCCCAAGACACTGACTTACTTCAGCAGCCATTCCTGTGTGCAGAGAATTCTCCCAAGCGCTCACGTGGTTGTGTTTTGCTACATGGGCAGTGCAAATGTAACACATTGGCAATTTATTGAAATCCAAACAAAGGGAACTCTCAGAGTACTCCTTGAACTTTCTCACCCTGTTTTACTGATCTTGTGCTCGGACTAAAGCTAGTGGGCTGATGGAGAAACAAATACCTAGTCCAGAGCTGTCCTCCAGCACTGGCAATCAGATGCTCCGAGGCAGCTTGCAAACAGGGCATGATGAGGAACGCCATTCCCACTGTTTTTAACTTCAGCGGGAAGAATGAATGGGGTGTTTTGTTTAGTTTCCCCTTGCCACTGCCTCACTTGATTTAAAACTATTTTCTCTGTGTATGCATGACTGAAAAGCTGATTTGCTTGAAAAATGACGCTCATGCCGTCTACTAGTTTCAGCACCTCTAATTTTTTAAGTAGTTCTTTTCACCTTTGCCTAGAAATTCAGTGTATTTGCGATTTCCTTTGGACCTCATAATGCTCCTTTGCTGGTGAAGACTTTTAAAGCTGTGGGCCGCTTAGTCCGCTTTCCTAGCCTGAGGATTGGCACAAAGCTGCAGATCTGAGCAGAAGGCAAGATTACGTTCTTTGCGGTCCAGCAAAATTGGTCTTGAGGCATTTGTTTATTTGTTTTTATATTTATACCCTGCTGAATAGCCTGACAGGGTCGCTAGGTAGTAATCAGAAAGCAAAGCAGCATTTGATATTTTTCCCTTTAGGCTGCCTATCGGAAGTCTTTCCCCAGGCATGCAACTGACTGTGTACTCAAGCAGACATTTCATATCAGGGTCCAGCTGGAATCTGATGAGATTTATCTTTTTCCTCCTGCTCCTACCCATCCATCACTCTCAGGTTTGAAGCGGCCTTGCAGGAGGCTCATCAAGTTGACAAGCTGCTCTCCGAGGGGCATGATGATGAAGAGGCTCTGCAGGAAAAGTTTCCCTTCCTGGGAGTCCCCATCACCATCAAAGAGGCCTTCGCAATTCATGGTGCGTTGCTTCATGGGGTTTCTTTCCACTCCTAGTCTTCTATTTGCAACCTTTCCTTTCCTTTTATTTTGTTTTATTGAATTATCTTATAGATCTATACCCTATTCTTCAGTATTACCATTTCCAGAACAAATTAGAATAGCAGATTATCCTAAGGGACACAAGAAGAATAAAACAATGGTATGCTCAGAGTATGTTGCCCTCCACTTGTGTCCAAGCCAGCTGCTTGCCTGCTTCCTACTCTATGGTTCTGTGGCAAACAGGAGCTGCCCAAACGCTGTCCAGTGGCAGAGAATACCTGGGAGTAATCACAGTTGTTTCTCATTCCTAGTTGAGCAGATCAGTGGAGCTGACCTCACTTGCTTCTCACCAGAAGTAGATTTCTGAAAGTGAAAAATGCCCACAAAACCAGAATCAAAGATACCTGCTTGATGCAGCATCTCAGAAGCTGGGTGTTCCTTACTACCTACCTTTTCAATGATACCAGCTTTTAGACTGTGCCAGACCTGAGAGTATAGCCAAGGTGTAACTTGTGGAACAACTGCCCCTCTTGCTTTTGGTCTTATACTTTCCCCTCTCTGTATGATCTTAGCCACTGTGGCATCTCTGATTCATTTCCCATTTGTTTCCCTTCTGTTGGGAAGGGTTGCCCAATACCTCTGGACTGGTGAACCGCCGCAACTTAATCTCCATGTCGGATGCTACGGTGGTGTCTCGGCTAAAGCAAGCCGGTGCCATCCCCTTGGGTGTGACCAACTGCAGTGAGCTGTGCATGTGGTTCGAGTCGAGTAACCGTGTCTACGGACGGACCAACAACGCGTACAATCTGGAGTGCATTGTGGGAGGCAGCTCTGGTGAGTGGGCTCTCACAGACTGTGACTGCTTGCTTGACTACTCCGTCGGAATTAATCCAGGCTAACAGGGAGGGCGTCCAAGTGGAGAACTCCTGGCATTGCTAGTCAGATGGCATTGTGTCACTATCCCATTTTCCCTCCTCAGTGGAAAGGAAAAGATGGGAGAGGTCGTGGCAAATTGCACATGGATTACAAGTGGAAGACAATGTTGTCTGAATCCTCTGAATTCTGTGCATGAGGCAGGGCTGTTGCACAATAAACGCCTCATCTAGAGGTACCTCCAAGCTGCTTGCAAGGGCGTTGGAAATCAAGCTGGAAGATCCTGCTGCTTCATAGATTGATTTTGATATAATACTGAGGAGTGATTACACTTGGGGTGGTTTGGAAATTTACCCGGAATAATTTATGAATTAATTGTGCGTAGAACCTTGATGATTCTGCAATTGTGCTATATCTATAGGCATCCAAGGTTAAGTAAAGGTAATGAACAAGGGTGCTGGAACCAGTGTGAAAGTGGCTTTCCCTTGCATGCAGTCACTCCGGAACAGATTCTGTGGGTGGCAGGTGTGTGCCTTTTGCAGCTTTGACCCTGGTGCCATGCAGATGTGACCTTTGTGTCTGCACAGGAGGAGAAGGGTGCATCCTGGCAGCTGCTGGCTCTGTGATTGGCATTGGCTCGGACATTGGGGGCAGCATCCGCATGCCTGCTTTCTTCAATGGGATCTTCGGGCACAAACCCACCACAGGTAGGGAGTGTGCATCTCATCCCTGTCAAGCTCACTTAAAAAGCCAGAGAGGGTCAGAGAATAGTTGAAGGACTTTTTAATGGTTTTTGACAGCCTTCCCCAACCTGGGAACTGCATTTATCTCAAGCATTAGGAACTGTTTCCTTTAGTTCAAGTGTAGTTTTACTTAATGGCTTCCTTGCTTGCTTACTAAATTCATCTGGATCACAAGGCACCACCAGTGTCTGTGAATGCAGGCATCCAGTTCAGGAGTAGAGCCTTTAACTTTTCCTGGAGGTTTTGCTTTATTTCGGTAGTATAGGCAGTAAGTCAGAAATTTTGTTAACTGCCTTCTGCTGAGAAATATTGTTCTTCACTCAGAAAAGTGCCTGAAATGTTCTCTGAGCTGTCCACTTTCTGAAGTTATGTTGTGAACTGCCCAGAGAGCTTCAGCTATAGAAATGCAATAAATAATAAGGCCAGGGGTGCAGAACTTCAAGCCCAGGAGCCTAATCCAGTCCTCCGGGGTTCACCAAATGGCCATACATCTTCCTCTGGGTCCATCCACTTTCCCCCAATGATTTGGTGGTTCCCTGAGTTTTGTGTAGATTTTCCTCTTCCATGGATTAATTACTAGCTTCAATTTTATTAAAGATAAAATATGCTGGTAACTGTAATATTTGGCTTTTCCCTTTCCCCCTTTCCTGTTGGTCCCACTCTCTCCTGGAATGTGTCCCATTTCCTGAGTGCTTCTCCAAAATGTTGTTTAGCCCTTTGGCTGAAAATGCTTCAACAGTGCTTAATAAGATCGTCCTCACACACAGACTATGATAGATACGATGCAAGAGGAAAAAAAGGAATGCAAAAGGAAGATAAACGTTTATGTTGGGACCACTGTACCTTGCTTAGCTCGTGGGTGGATACCAGGTTGACCCCCCCTTGCTGTGATGTCCTTCCTGGGAGTAGGGGTGCAGCCTCCCAGTGGCCCCTGGTCCCCTGGACAGTGGCAGGACATGCATCTCTTCCGTTTTACGATCCCAGCGTAACTGGCAGGTGCAACAGAACTCTTTCTGGCAGAAAAATGGTTTAGGCTAGTGGGCTGGAACTCAAGTCCAAACCACACAATGGTTTTCTCTCCTGTGATGCTGTGCAAATCTATGAAAACCAGCACCACACCAGAAGGCTCTGGTTTCTCCTGCAAACTCGGGATCTCTGTGTGTGTACTTGTTTGTCTAGGTGTGGTGCCCAACGATGGCCAGTTCCCCAACGCCTTGGGTATCCGGACCAACTTCCTCTGCACTGGCCCCATGTGCCGCTATGCAGAAGACCTGGAACCCATGTTGAGGGTCATGGCTGGACCAAACGTCACAAAGTAGGTGGTTCTTGTTGTTCTGCAGGGCTGCCAGAAGCAGGAAACTTCTCGGTGCCTGGCATCCGTGTTCTTAATGTAGAAATCTTTGGAGGTGACTCTTCCCATTGGTTTGGGCCTTGTACCTGCCATAGCGTTCTACCAAGAATGGGCAATAAAACCAGAAGTGCATCAAAGAGCACAAGCATTACTTTCATTTGATTTAAATGTTCACCAGTTGTGCAGACCGTATTCGGGAAAACAAGTTGCTAACATACGCAGTCCTGTGTTAAGATTTTTATTGAAATAATTTCACAAAAAGCCGGTAAAAGCAATCCTAATTTCCTAAATTGTCATCTAGATAATAATTCTCATATTCCTATCAACACAACTATGTGAGTAGCGGACTCACGAGCACTTCTGTAGTGGAAAAAGAGAAGCAGCAGCGCTTTGGCAAACAGCAAATCCTTGCTAGTTACAGATGAAGGTTTCTCTCCCCCTGATCCTTGCCCAAAGCTTTGTTTTTGCTTTTCTTCTTTGTTTTTGTTTGTCTTCTCCTGCTTTATGACTCCAGTTAGTTGAAAAAAGTAGCACCCAGTGGTTACACTTGCGTTTTCCTTCAGGGAGTGTCACGCAGTAGTCAAGCAGGGGTCGCAGGGATCGTGTTTCTTTTGGGATGCAATAGTCTTTGCTTTGTCTGTACTAGAAGGGGTCGTGGTTTGAGGAGTACTTCATGCTGGAACTAATTGTGACTTTCTTCTGAGTTGTTTCAATTTCTTATTGCAGTGTCCAGCATGTTCCTTTTTCTACCTTGAGTCTGTCTTGGCCAGTTTTTTCTTCATTTCTATTCATTTGTTACATCCTTTAAATCAAAACAGGCTAACTGCCTTTAACGGTTCCGTACTGTTACAAGCCATAAGGATGCCATGTAGGAACAGGTTTGAGCCAAAACCCGCAGTCTTAACTTGAACCTGTAGCTTCTGTAAGGGATCATAAAACAGAGAGCTTTTTGCGGCTGACTTGTGAGCATCTTATTCATGCCTCATCAGGTTGAAGTTGGATGAAAAGGTATCCTTACAGAACATAAAATTCTATTTTATGGAGCATGATGGAGGGTCCGTTTTTGTTTCCCCGGTAGACAAAGAGATTCTTCAGGCACAACGGAAGGTAAGGAATTTGTATCTGCTCACAGAAAAGCTTGTGTACTATCACACTAATGGGGTTTTGCGTTAGATGTTTGGATAAATTGCAGCTTGGTCTGTTGCTGTGCAATTTGTCTGTTTGAACCTACACTCCAACATACCTGGGCACCATGTTGGCCGGAAATCTCAGAGGGGCAGTGGTTCAGTGGCAGAGTGCAGATACTGTGTATGGAAGATCCTGGGGTCAGTTCCAGGTGTGGGAGGGACAGATTCTTGCCTGAAATCTAGGGTTAATGAAGGTGATTATTATTATTATTAGAACATTTCTATGACGCCCCTTGCCGAAGCCTCGGGGCGGCTTACAACACAATAAAATACAATACAATACAGAAATAACAATATAAAATTAAAATAAATAATATAAAATAAATAAATAAAATTATACACGATATAAAAGAAGTTATAAAAGAAAAGTTATAAAAGAAAAGAAGAAAAGGAAAGAAAAGGAAAGAAAAGAAGTTGCCCTGGCCAGATGAATAAATTAATATTGTTAACAATTAAAATGATGTTTAAATAAAAAGGTCTTCACCTGGCGCCGAAAAACAAATAACGGCGGTGCCAGGCAGACCTCTCTGGGGAGCACATTCCATAGATTGGGCGCCACCGCAGAAAAATGAAGGTGATGCTGAGTTAATGAAGGTGATACTGAGTTAGATGAGCTGAAGGCAGTTCTTTAAGAGAGGGTTTATTTGGGGGCAAGACACAGAATACACAAACATCAGCCGTGTATCTTATTACTTCATATCTTGTCACTGTTTGGCAAAGGGGACTCTGAAGCTGCAATAGCTGAACAACTCTTGAAAATGTAGGGCAAGATGCATGGGACTTATGTCATAGACTGTAGTGGGAGACATATTGGATGGCACAGGGCATTGGTCTTCATCTTTCAGTATGAAGGGTACAAGCCCTCCTGCTGCTTATGCTGAAGTGCTATATGCACATGTTTCAAAAAGCTTTGAAGACAGGGTCCTTGGATCCTATCGCCTGAAGCACAGTAGTATTCAGTAGCAGTGGTTCACATGTTTGGACAGCTGCAGATCGCCAGGTGAGGAGCCATACCAATTCCTTGTGTGCATGCAACGCTGCCATTCTGTGATTCTATGCATCATTCTCCACTTTCTCTGGAGTGAGAGTGTAGGAGGTGATAGACATTGCCTGTCTCTTCTGTCTCCAACGCTACAGTGTTAAGATTGGTTTGCTTTCTTTGGCTGTCACTGTGGAATCTTTAAAATAATCCTTTTTCCGTCAAAGCATTGCAGGCCTCTGTCTGACAGATCTCCTACTTTACCTTTAATAATGTGTTTTCCATAAGAGGCAGGGCATGATTTGATGCTTCCTTTCCTCTCTTCCTTTACATTTAAGCTGGTGAAGAACCTGGAGACTGAACTGGGGGTTCAAGTTCAGAATGTGGCCATTCATAAAATGAAGTATTCCTTCCAGATCTGGTCTGTTATGATGTCTTTCAAAGACAGTGATGAACAGGTTGGTTAAATGGCATTAGTCCACTTGCAGCTGAACATTCTTGCATTGATATTGAAGTGGGGATGCTTAGGTGAATGGTTTTCTTTAGGGAAGCCTGTCCTCATTAAAGCAATATGGAAGGGGTTTGTTTGTTTGTTTATTTATTTATTAAAACATTTCTATGCCGCCCCTTGCCGAGGCCTCGGGGCAGCTTACAACATCAAATAAAATACAAAATACATTAAAACAATAACAATTAAAATATATACAGTAAAATAAAATAAGCCTCCCTGGCCGAATAAGATTCAATAATATTAACATTTAAAATGCTGCTTAAATAAAAAGGCCTTTGCCTGGCGCCGAAAAACAAATAACGACAGCGCCAGGCGGACCTCTCTGGGGAGCGCATTCCATAACTTAGGCGCCACCGCTGAGAAAGCCCTCCTCCGAGTAGCCACCCTCCTAATTTCCTTCACTGAGGGTTCCACATTGTGTTTTTATTAAGGCAGCCCCGTAGACTTGTTAGCAAAAAAGGGGTGGGGAACATGCTGTAGGAAGCAGCCAGATCCTGCGGAGTGTTGAACAAGCCTCAGCCCGCCAGGCTTCCTTCTCATCTCACACGGACTAAGCATGTTTCGTAGAACACAGCACTCCTGTAAAGGGACTGTATCACAGGGAAGATCAGCAGTAATGGGCGAGCTGTCTTGTGGGTGGCTGAAGTCCCTTTTAGTAGGCTCCACAGAACTTTGAGGTTGCCTAGGACATTCTTTGAAAAAACATTCGCTGCGCAGTTCCTGTTTCTACAGTTCTTCTCCCACAGTGGGTGATTTGCCATTGCGCTCTGTAGAGTGAGAAAAGAGATTTGATAGACTTCCACCTCATATCAAATGCTGTGATGGACAGACCATATGGAAGCAGGATGCTTCCGTTCACTCCTGCCCATCAATACTTCTACTTGCATTTTATTTACAGCAAAGTCAAGCATTCACAGATATGCTTGGAGACCACGGAAAGCCAGTATGGCCATCGTGGGAGTTGGTGAAATGGATGGTGGGAATGTCGTCACACACCCTTCCAGCCATTGGTAAAATCTTGCTTCTGAATGTGGATACGTTTTAATAGTTGCATTTCTTTTTTGTGATCAGTTGTCATCTTTAAAAAAAAATCTAGTTTTGGCCAGACAGTTGCTGATTATCTAGTAACAAAAGTTGGGTTTGTTGTAATTTTTCATATAATAATGTTTGGGACCATAAGGTGGCACCATGTCTTTGGAAGTCAGGTGGAGCAGCTGGCAGCCTTAGGATGGGGTTGGGTCAACTACTCACCAAGTGAAGAACAAAATCCCAAAACAGGATGGTGCTTCAGATAGGCCATGGAGCACTACAAGGGTAAATACCACTTGTTTGCAAACTAAATTTGACTATTTGAGCTCTTTTGAGCTTTGGAATAGTTTGCCACCTGATTTTGTTGGTAGAGAAGTTAACATTTTATTTAATTTCCCTCTGCAGAGATGGGGGGAGTCTCGAGGTGACAATTCCCCTCTCCTACTCCCCAGGTTCCTTCAGGTGCCCTTCCCTCATTCAGGCTCTCCTTGGTAAGGGGTCCAGCACAACCCTATAACCGAATACATGTTTGGGAGTGAGAAGCAGCAGCTGAGCGAGCAAAGAAGAGAGCCAGATTTCTGTTTCTTTCCAAGAGTTGCTATCAGGACCACATGTGCCAAGTCTTCACAAGCAGATCCCATTAGAAGTGCCATACCTTGCTCTAGGAATAACCCTTTGCTCTCCTCTGCTTATGGTGTTCACTCCTTTTCTCTCACTTAGCACTAGGGCTAACCGAGAAGCTTGTGAAATACAGTCCAAAGACAAATGCGAAGCTAGCAAGCATGGCACAGAGCCTGCGGACTGAGATGGTCAATTTGCTGGGGGAGGATGGGGTCCTCCTGTACCCTTCCCACCCGGTGGTAGCGCCCAGACATCACACTCCTCTGGGGATGCCTTTCAATTTTGCTTACACAGGTAAGTCATTTCTGTCCTGTTTTCTGTATGGCATCATCTGTGGGTGAACTTGGATTTCTTTCTGTAGGGACAGTATGGCCTTTCATCGTGTGTGTATGGGCAAGCACTCCCCCCATATGTTGTTGTTGTTAGTCACGAAGTCGTGTCCGACCCATCGCAACCCCATGGACAACATTCCTCCAGGCCTTCCTGTCCTCCACCGTCCCCTGGAGTCCACTTAATTGCTTCAGTGACTCCATCCAGCCACCTCATCCTCTGCCGTCCCCTTCTTCTTTTGCCATCTATTGTTCCCAGCATCAGGCTCTTCTCCAGTGAGTCCTTCCTTCTCATTAGGTGGCCAAAGTATTTGAGTTTCATCTTCAGGATCTGGCCTTCTAAAGAGCGGTCAGGGTCGATCTCCTCTAGGACTGACCGGTTTGATACACAAACAACATAATGTGTGAAGGAGGCATATGTGTCTACACCAGCTTGAACAGTATAACCCGGTCCCACAGTCCAGCTCCAGCAAAGTATGAGGACATGCTGAGGATCCTCCCTGGTCAATAAATGGAAATTCTAGTGGAATAGTTCTAGATAATGTGGGAGCAAAAATGAATGATTTTAGAGCATTTTTGCTTTTTAAAGTTGCTTTTCTCCTCTTTTCCACCAACCAAGGAACCTGTTTGTTTTGCCTAAGAATTCAGTTCTGGTTAATAGCTGAATTTAATAGTTTCAAAGATGGGATCATTTGGAGCTGAAGAACGAGTGGGGACCTGGAGTGACACGGACAGGTCCTTTTGCAAGAGGAGGGAAAGAGGGTGGCGTGGGCGGCTGACGATCACCCTGAGAGATGCAAAGTACAGGAGGACATGGAAACTTTACTGGACTTATGGAAAAACAGGCAGGCATTGGGCAGGCATGGGGTGGCGAAGGGAGGGGGAACTTCCTGATTGGAGCAGCCCTCCCATGTGCAAAGGACAGTTGGGAAAAGGTTGCTGACAGTGGGAGGCAGCAAGGGATCATGGGATGTGGATTGTACCACAAAGGCACTTGGGATAGATGCTGCTGCTGGCTGGAGGACGGGACGGGACGGGATGGGATGGGATGGGATGGGATGGAGAGGCAGAACAGGCCACGGGAAGCCCTGCTGTCGGGTGCACCGTGGGCTGATGCATGGGCAGCTAACCCGCTGGCTTATTTGCAAGGCGGCCTACTTTGATGCTAGGGTTCGTTTCTTCATCCAGACAGCCCTGGGAAGACTCCCAGGTGCAACCTGGAAGTATCTGGTAGAGTCTAATTCATATCTCTGCAGCTTCATTCCCCCTTAAGACCTAACAGGCTGCAAACACTGTGGCTTAAACACTTCCCTCCCCACTTCTTAAATTTAATTTTATTGTTTTGCCTCATAAATCCTGTGCAGTATTTTGCGGCCTTTGAATAGAGGTAGCTTCAGAAGGATATTATTTTGGTATACATTCTGGAGATGGACACACACGCACGCACACCCAGACAGAGTGAAGACGTGCTTTCGTGCCTCACATTTCCATTATCTCTTCTCCCACAGCCATCTTCAACATACTGGGATTACCGGTGACCCAGTGTCCCCTGGGCCTGAGCAAGGAGGGCCTGCCCCTGGGCATCCAGGTGGTGGCAGGGCCCCACAACGACCACTTAACCCTGGCCATGGCACGCTACCTGGAGAAGTCGTTCGGAGGCTGGGTTCGCCCTGGCACGTGCTAGCGCAGCCCACCCGGGACTGGCAGAAACATGAAGACCGGCGCTGCCTGTGACCTCTCAGCAGGCGACTGCTTCCGAACGTGCAGGAACTCCTGCGTGTGCCCCTTGGGAGGGCTGATGAGTCCGTCTGCCACATTAGGTACACCCTTCCGTGAGGGGCAAAGCTATTTAGTGTTCTCCCTTTCCAATTAAAAATGTCATAAAAACCTTAGGTGGGCGGATGCACTCTGCTTTCTCAGGGATGTCTGGGCTTTTGGGGAGCTCTGGCCAGAGACAATCACAGTGTGGGCAGAGATGGGGGGCAGGGGGAGCATTTCCTGTTCTTGTCCTGGAAAGGCCACTGGTAGACTAGGGAGCAAAGTTCCCTCCTTCAGTTATTTGTGCAGGTTTCAAGACCAGGCCAGACAGAGGGCATCAGGAGGAAGTCCTGGAGACGTGTTTTCCTCTTAACATGTCCTTTGGGAGGCTGGCAGCCCCAGCTTCTTAACAATTTGCACAGAACGCTGCTGGGCAGGGTATTCCATCCTAGCTGCATTTCTGCATGGATTCCTTTTTGATTTTATTAATTGAACAGACAGTACAATTAACAGAATAGTAATAAACATTATTGATCAATACTAATAAATACAATTGAACAATACAGTAACAACAGTGCTACCTGCACCAGGATCAACAAATCATGCCACTTAATGTAAGAGCATTTATTTATTCAGGTTGCCCCGCTCTCACTTCCCTTCCAGAACTACACTGGCTCTTGTGAAGGTTCACACCCCTTCCGTTTATTAAGTCATATTCAATAAATGGTCTCCAAATATTTTCAAAATTATTATTACCTATCAAACCTTTTAGCCACTTAATATCAGAAGCTAACTTATTATTAGCAGCTATAATAAGACTCCTTTGTACCAGTCATCTATTTGATAATCACCTTTTATTTTCTAATTCCTTGCTATTATTAATCTTACTGCTGTTTATAAATTCGTCATCAATTCTTCAATATTTTTTCCCTCTTGTTATCTAATTAATGACAATAAAGCTAATCCAGCATCTGCTTCAATTTTTAAATTCCATATTTTACTAATTTCTTTGAAAACCATTTCCCAAAACTCATTTATATATTTGCACTCCCACCACATATGGAAATATGAACCCACTTCCTGGTTGCATCTCCAACATACGTTGGACTAGTCATTATTCATATAATTCAGTTTAACTGGAAATAAGTACTATTTTCAAACTAATTTATAAAAATTCTCTTTAATTCCTACATAAATTTTAAAATTCTCTTATCTCACATGTCATCCCATTCTTCAGTACTAATATTTCCTTTTAAATCTATTTCCCAAGACTCTAGGAGGATCGTATTGGTCCTCCCCTTCTAGTAATATGTTGAAAATGCTACCTGTCATTCCTCTGCATGGATTCCTGTTCACCTCTGGCACTTCGTCTGGCCCACAGTTGGAAATGCTTAGGCAAGTTGTTTGGTTCTGCCAAGACGCAGGCTGGCAGACCTTTGACAGGCATGGTGAACCAAGCTCTTTTGCAATGTACTTTCCTCCTCTGTCCTGTTCGAACAGCATCTTGAAGCTGTGAAGAGAGGCTCCTGGTGGAGAGGCCTTCCCTCAACCCTGCGCCCACTGTTGCTGCTGGTTCCACACAATCCACTTGACAAATTGCACTATGTGTTGCTGCACGTGAAACATAAAGAAGACTTGGAATGTCTTCTGGCATCTCAGACAGGTTCTCCGTGTCTAATTGAAGGCTCCTTTGCCCAGAATCTCAATGCTCTTGGTTGCTGTGAAGGACAGAACCAAAAGGTGTTTGAGCTGTAGGGATGTGTGCATGGAAAGAAACAACGATGTTCTTTATTTAAGAAAGGCTTTAAAGAAAGTCCCAGGAGGCAGTTACAGGATGGAAATATTACCAGAGCTTATGTCTCAAATAACGAGCACTTTGCACACCTTTTGTAATCCTTGCAGCAACCTAGTAGGATATGCCGAAAGTATTCCTATTGTGGTGGGATATGGCACTGAGATAGAGAGAGGCTTTCTTTAGACTACACAGTGAATTAAGCACTAAAGGCAAGCTCTAAACTCCTGCAAACTATTTTGAGTCTTGCTTTTTGTTATTTATGAAAAAAACCCAGCACTGAAGCTGTGAAATGGTGAATCTGATTCATCCCTGTTCTGGCTTCTCAGATTATCAAGCAATATCTACTCAGTTTTTCTAGCATAACTTAGCAGCTCTTGCTTTAAAAGAAGAAAGGGAGAACGGAGATTCCAATGATGCTGGATTTCTGACAGCATGAAATTTGTGAAGATCTGCATGAAGCCCTGTCCTCACTTCATCCAGCCTTTAGTTCACATGGTCAAGAGGGGATACATTTCCTTGCTACTGCTCAGAATTATTGCACAGATAGCATTGTAAGTCTTGTAGTCACATAACGCTGAATATCGAATGTGTTGATTAAATAGTTCAGGAAAAATGGGACGAGTTCATGCAGGATTCTGTGCGTGGACTGACGATGTGGCAGTAACTTCAGGGTTTCAAGCAGGCTTTCCCAGCATTATTTGGAGATGCCAGGGACTTAACTGCACATAAAGCCCAGCCCTCTCATGTCTCACACCGTTTCAGAACACTTCCCTCCACTTCCCCAGTGCAGAACAGCAGTCCTCAACTCTGTTGTCCATCGTGCAAAAAGATGTTCTCCGGTTCAGCGGGTGTTCGATTATACACTGGATGAAGTTTACAGTGCAAGCCAAGAAGGGGGTTTGCTTACCCCCCGCATGGCTGCTTGCAGGCTTGCAGCCTGGTTGTGCTGTGACCCTGGTCTCCACATGCCTGTTTTCAAGGGATGTCTCTCAGCATCTTAGTGGATGCTTTTGTAGTGCCCTTGTGCAAAAAGTACCGCAGCAGGTTCTGGTGATGGGAAATCAAGCATTTCCCCCCAATTCCTGCAAGTAGCAAACCTCAGGGAGGTAATAGATGTAACCGTTTATGTAAATGTGTGCTTTCGGAAGATGGAAAAGAAGTGTGGTATGGTTAGAAACTTGTTGCCAAATTGGGGAGCAAGGCCTGGCTTTCTGTGTTCCTCTAACAGCAGCTCAACATTCAGAAAGCTGTGGAGGAAGATTTCTGTGGCATATAAATTAGCAGTACAGTGCGTCTGACCATCGGCAAGTGTGCAGTCTCAAACCAGAATTTCTACCCTGCGTAATTCCCAGTAGGTGCTGGGAAAGGACCCAAAAGTTTGTGGGCACAGAAAAAGTCAAACCATACGAGCTCAGGATGCCCAAGAAAGAGGAAAAGTGTTTCATTTAAAAGTGGACACAGAATCACCATAAGGGTATAATGTATATGGCTAGTTGGATATTTAGAAATAATGTCTAACATTTAAATAGAAATCCAGTAGATCTTGCCGTGGGGAAGACTGACCAGCTAACTTACGCACCTGCTCTGTCTACTGTCCACCTGCTACCTGATGGGAAACTCCAGGGCCCCTGCGGTTTTCTCTGGACAGCGCTTCAGAGCATTTCTGCAGAGAGAGGACAGTCCTTTGTAAAGAAGACACATGGCTTTCCTGTATGAACTTTCCCTGCTCACTGAGATCATGATGGAAGGCCCTTTTGCAGGTGCCCACCCAATTGCAGATAATCGTGAGATGGCTGCAAAATGCTCTGCTGAAGCTCAGTTGCATTTTGGTGCCAGGTGATGGGTTGTGTTTCTCTGTGTATGCTTTAATCCTAAGTGTTTTAAGTATGAATCTTTCTGTTTTTACTCTGTTTAGATATTGCTGCTTCGGTTTCTGTTATCCATATTTGTGTTATTCTGCTCTTGTTTTTGATTATGTTATGTAAGCTGCCCTGAGAAGGTTTTTGAAGGGCTGGATATGAAGCCTTAAAATAAATAAGCAGTGCTGACTGACAATGATTCATTCCGTATTAATGACTGGAATAGGAAAGGTGACCTTTAAAGTTTGATTACATTTATAGCCATCTTTGTAGAGTTCAAGGCTGTGCAGATAGAACTCTCCAGATTTTGTCCTTTTGACAACCCTGTGTTGGTAGACTAGGCGGAAGGAGCAACTTTTCCGAGGGTACTTGGGGAACTTCTTGGAGAATTGAACCTGGGGGCTGCTGCTTGGCGTTGCCATGAGGGCGGGGCAATGGGGCAAAGCTGAATGAACCTCCACAATTTGGAGCAGAGCAGGTGTACCATTTTGACTTAAGTCCAACTGAACACAAGGACCACCTAAAATGGCTGGATGGTGAGGAAAACTCTTGACAGTCAAGTCCTAGACCACCGTTCTGTCAGTTCTCTGCAGCATTTTAAGAACTGATCTGCAGGCCCGGTGCTGCACTGGCTGTTGTGATTTGAGGGGGAGGAAAACGTCATGATGGCACTTTGATGCCCACATTATATGGATTCCTAAGCCACCATTCCGAGCTCCGATCCTGGGTATATACAGGAAAGGGCTGTCCCTGGCAAGCTCTTCCTGCTCCACCTTCAGTTTCTGAAGAATGCACTCGACAAACCCTGACGAACCTTAGTTGCTAAGTGCCAAGAATTATCTAAGGTGGGGCCATGACACATTCTGCTTGCTTGCGTCTTCCGTGAGGAGTGCCTTGAGTTCAAATGTCGTGCCTGCTGACAAAGGGAAGTGGATCTTCCCCCGAACTCTGCTCTAGAGAAGAACCATGGCTCTTGCATCATGGACTGTTCTTTTGTTCCTTGTGGATCACGCTGTTCAACAGGGTAAAGGTTTCATTCCTTTAAAAAAACCCACTTATTTCTTAAGCTGGTGAATGCTTGGCTGTCTTTTGGCAAGCTGTCTGTGTGTCTGCTTTTCTGCTGCCAAGAGAGAATACTTCGTTCCATGGATTGGGAATGAAGGGGGGAGGAGAGGGTCGAAAGAACTCATATGGAGATTAAGAAGATCCTTCAGAGGCTATTTGTGGGGTATCCCACTTAGTAATATATACGCTCATTTGTTACATTTTTCTACTGCATTTTGTACTGCAGAATAGCATTACAATTGTTGGACATTTCCTCAATGAGAGGTGAGGGTGATGACATGCTATTCTGAATGGCAGTCCCCTTAAAATTTGAGGCCCAGGTTGGGGGCAGAAATGGATTAAGTTCCTGCCGTCATAGTCAAGGGTAGATTCAGAGCCCGGGGGTCTAAACAGAGTTGGCTGAAGCTGAAATGCTCCAGAAAATGTATTGTTTATACTGAGAAAGTTCATTTGAGACCATTGCTCAGCCTTCCCAAACCTGGTGTGCTCCAGATGATTTAGATTTTAACTCCCATCAGCCCCAGCCAGCATAGCTAATGCTGGAGAGCTGTGCAGTCTGAAACCTCCGCATGTTGCCAGGCTGGGGAAAGCTGCTATGTGGAGTGGGCTTGTAGAAAGCCAGACCCTTGGTGTCCTTAGCTTGGTGTTTATGCCAGCCTTCCCCAGCCTGCTTCTTGCTAAATAGATTAGACTACCACTTGCAAAATTCCTCAACTAGCCGTCATCAGGTTGGGAAATGAACCATGTTTATGTCTAGAAGTTTGTCCCAAATGTATTTCAAGCTTCTGCTGTTTATCAAGGTCACATTAGCACCATTTTCATAAGAGGCAGTTTATTCACCTTTTTCTCCTCATGAAGGGGTGGTAGGAATATCTTGATAAAGACCAATTTCTACAGCGCCCTCGGATGCTGTCCATCTGTTTCCAGTATCCCACCTTCTGCCCTCAGCAGAACCTGATGCAAGTTTAATGGTTCTGCTTCCACTGTACCTGCCCGAATAGTTGTAAATGTAATACAAAGAAGCCTCCAGGTGGTTTTCTGTAATCAGACACTGCAACACGCACGCATGCATGGATGCACACCCAAACACGGAAGAGCTCTTTCTCTCCGTAGGAAAGGGGGCAATCGACTCCCGGTGGTGGAGGGGGGGGGGATTTCATTCCTATATTGCCCTACAGGCAAAACTCTGTAGGTGTTTAAAAATGCTGCTAGAGGGAGCTGCAAAGAATCAAGGAGCAAGCAGAGTCCTGGAGCAACATGTCTGTGTCGTCACATGCGGAAACTGGTCCTGTATGCAGATCTTCGCCTCCTGAAAATTAGTCTTTTTTGTTTTTTTAGGGCTATTTCTAGTCAAAACTAAGAAAACAGATTTGAAAGTCCGTGCATGAGTAAATTGCTCATTTAAAAAGGCAAAGGTGGGCATTTGCTGCTGGGATTTCCTGTTATCAGACGTCACTACAGAGATTAAATGTCTTCAAAGTGCAAAACCACAATAATAGAAATCGGACTAAAATGTATATCTAATTTCTTCAGATGAGTTCATATCAGCAAGGCCTGATGAACTGCATCCTAAAGTAATAAAGGAACTGGCAGAAGAACTCTGGGATCCACTGTGCATTATCGTGAAGGACTAGATGGAAGAGCTACTGAAAGGAGTCACTTTAGATGGCAAAGAGTGTTTCTCTATGGCACCTTCTCAGGCTGGGAGGAGGTAACAGGGAGGGTGCCAAAGGGTTCATTCCTGGGCCCAGTGCTCCTCCACATTTTCATTAATGATTTGAGCGAGGAAGTGCAGGGAATGCTGATCAGATTGGGCAAGATAGCTAACACCCTGGAAGCCTATAGCAGTGTCCTGGTTTGCTTGATCACCACAGGGTGGGTTGTGATCAGCACTTTTTGAGTATTCAGTCCCAGAGGAAGGGCTTGCATGGATTGTCAGGTTGCCTGCAAAGCAGAGGAATCCAAATACCTGAGCAATCCAAGTGCAACAGATGAAACAAAGAAGACATCAAGGGCCATTCAGGAACAGGTGACTTCTTCCTTGTCAGATGCCCAGTCTCAAGGGTTCTCCATCCTTTCTTCTTTGTTCAAAGGAGCGCTGCTTCTTCCGCCACAGAATGTGACACTCATCTCTGAGAATTTCTACACCTTCTTGACATGGCAACCAGCCCTGGACTCAACTGACAACACTCAGTACGAGGTGGAGAGAACTAATGGGTAGGTTGCTCGTTCATCTCTCTCTCGCGCTCTCAAAAATTCTGTCTGTATTTGAGACACAGGCAAGTTGTGCCTCTCCAGGTGTTCTTTTTATTTTATACATACACACACACACATATATACTTTTAAACTAACACTAAAAAAAAAGCATCAAACATCACAAACATTGGATTCACTGGGTCAACCTCCTACTACATATTTTTTAACATTCTAATATCAAATTCCAATTAATTTATCATAGTTTGAAAAACATCTCTAAATTTACACCAAGTCCTGTTTCTCCAGCCAGTTATAAAAAGAGTCCCAAGTTTGATAGAAATCAGTATCCTGTTTCTCCTTCAACGATAAAGGCAATCTATCCATTTCTGCACAGGCCAAGATCTTTCTTGCAATCAGTCCCCTCCAGGTGTTCTTGAACTCCAGCTCACATAATCCCTGGCTCTTGGTTATTCTGGCTGGGAGCAATGGGAGCCTATCCATTTATTAGCAATATGCATACACTGCTTCTCATCTGAATAAACCACAACATGATTTATTAATCACCAAATAAATCACAAACAGAAAAATGAAAGCGCACACCTGATGAAACCATATTAGGAGCTGTTCCAAAGAGAGCGTATGGCTGGCAGAACGCTGAAGTAGACAGGCATGTTTTCAGCAATTGCCTAAGACATGCCGGAATTGGGACTGATGGAGAGATGCTTCCACAGCTTTGTCAGGAGGATTCAGGCTCCTGCCTCAGGGAGGGGCTGCCAGGAGGTGGCAGTGAGGCATTGGGTGGATGGTGTTCCCCTCGCCGCCTGGGCTGTGCTTCACCCTCTAAGCCAACCCAGTCCTCTGATGGTGAATGCTGTCCTGTCATCAGTATCAAAAAGATTTGATTGCCAGTCTGGTTGGTTCCTATTTGTGGAATTGTGTGGTGGGGGAGGGCGGCGGCAGCAAAATGTCTGCCTCCAGCAGCAATGTGTCTTGAGCAGGACCTCTGCTTGTGGTCTTCTCAAAGGAACCTCGCTGGGCACTGCACAAACCACACGTTGAGTTAAATTGGGGATGAGGGGAGAAGATGGATCTTCAGATCTTTCTCTGTTACTCTCTCTCTCGCTCTCGCTCTCTGGTCACTGCATTGCTCTGCACCTGGGAATCCTGAGCCAGAGGCCCCCTCATCAGGTAGGGCTAAGGGAGTCCCATAAAGGGCCATCCGTCTCACCACACTGCCACATCTTCTGATCCTAAGGGACAGGACTGCTCCTGAGTGGATCAGAGAGACTTCGTGCAGGGGAAGCCACCTGAGACAAACCCAGAAGTGCCCTCTTCATCTGCCACATTTGTTCAGTGCCTACCAAGCCAGGGTGAGAGCTCGGGATGGATCCAGGTTGTCTGCATGGGCCCCTTCAAATGGACTGCAGCTCTACAAAGACAGTAAGGAAAGCTTTTCTGCTGAGACACCAAGAAGGGGAACAGAACTGGCCTCTGATGGGGAAGGATGACCTGAGGGAGGAGCAGCCAAAGATGTACAGGCATTTTTCTCCCTCTCTCAAAATACCAAGTCCCACTGGGGTGAACTGCAGCTGAATGGTGGGAAAGTCACAAAAGGCAGAGAGGAGGATGTCTTTATGGAGAGCATAATACATCCACAGCTTTCACTTCCAGAACATCGGGATGACTTTAAAGGGGGATTAGAAAACACTGCGGAGGAGAAGGCTTCCTGTAGACCTCTCAGTCATGATAGCTATATATCGCCTCCAGTATCCAGATTGGGAGGGTTCTGAGGACCAGTTTCTGGAAAGCACAAGCAGGAGGGTGCTGCTATGCTCAAGTCCTACCTTTGAGCTCCCCCCTTGGAGCATCTGCTTAGCCACTGTGGGAACAAAATGCTCCATTTCCTCTAGCCACGCTCGATTCCCATTGTGGGCTGCTTGCAGAATTCCAAGCATGAGAAATTGTCTCAGTTGTATTTATTCACTGTCGCTTCTGGACCCACCCTTTTTTCCTCATGCAAGGGAGCAAGGGAGCTGCTCTCCATTTTATCCTCGCCGCAGCCCTGTGCGGGATGAGAGGCTGGCCCAGGGTCACCCACTGAGCTTCAAGGCTGGGATTGCTAACCGGCTCCGTACCACAGTGCTTCTCAGCTGCCACTGGGCCATCAGCAGGTTTCCTCCTACTTCCGTGCACAAATTAGGGTGGGTGAGTGTGGTTTTTGTCACCTCCAGAGCAGGGAGAGATGGAACGCCATGGCAGAGATTCTCTCCCTGCCCCTGCCGTGGCTCCGATCGAACCTCCTGTGCCCTTCGCATCATGGGCCATTTTAAAGCCCACCAGCAGTCATTCTGCAGCATGAGGCAGAGCAGAGAAAGCTGTGCCTTCCAACCTCAGAAAAAGGTGCACAGGTCCCAAGGCCGGCTGTGCCCTTTTAGCGGCGGAGGCAGGACTTCCCACAAGCCTGCCTGCCCAGCAGCGACAAAGTCACTCTGATCGTCTGGGGTACCACCTGTTTCGGGAAGGCTGTTGAGCTGAGTTGGGTTTCCTCTCCCCACCTTCTCCGTAGCTGTGGTGGGCCCCCTGACCCTGTCTCTGGCTACCGGCAACCGCCGCCTGTGTGTGTCCGTGGCTCTGCCTCGCACCCCCCTGAAGGAGAGCGATTCTTACCTGGCGTCCCTGAAGATCCTGGCTGTCCTCCGCGGAGAAGGTGGCTTCCTACGCAAGGTGAAGGTGGGTGGAGACGGGTTGGCCCACCTGGGCCGGTGTGGGGGAGCTGCCCTTCTTGCCAGCGGGATCCTGCTTCCCATGGCAGCCCATTCTCCTGAATGAATGGAGCAGGTGAGCGTGACGGCCTAGTGGATCAATGCGCTGGAAGTGCCACTTCCCGGCACAGGTTTCGTATGTGTTGGAGCCAAATACCTGATGGAGCACCTCTTCTGATAGGAAGCGATCCACAGACCGTGCTTATTGTCTCTTGCCCTTCTCTAGATGTCTCCAGGGAGGATGCTCAGAGCTGAGGACCAAAGGACATGGCCTTCTTGATGGTGGCCCCCTAACTCTTCCGAGGGAGGCTCACCTGATGCCAACAGTGTCAGCTTTCTGGTGCCAGATTTAGACTTTCCTTAGCTCCAAGTGTTTGACAGCACATGATAAGGTTTTTCATGGGCCCTGCGATTTAAAAGCGTGATAGTTTGTTTGAGTTGGCCTTATGCTCTGTTCCGTTATCCGTTTATTTATTTGATTTCACCTCGGTGTGCTGCTGTTGCTTGTTACACCAGCACTTCTTTCTCCCCAAGATGCACAGGCACCTGATGAAGCACACATTTGAAGGCGTGAGGCCGAACGCCAATTACTGTGTCCAGGCTAGAGTCACCGGCCAGAGGGCCAAGGAGGCAGTGCAGTGCATCTGGATGCCAGAGAGCCCCACAGGTGAGGGCGCCTGGCCTCGCTGCCAGGATGGGGGGGCCGTGCTGGTTTGTGTGGCTGGACTGCAAGTGTGTGCTATTCCACAAGGGATAATGGCAATGCCCCTGCTCTGAAACACATGAGAGCAGTGTGCAGGAGTGGTTAGAGAAGCCTCCCCCAGCTGGGGGAGCTGAAGCTGTCCAGATGAGTTGGGCTACCACGCCCATAATTTGGGGAGGTGATGGGAGTGTGTAGCCCAATCCATACATAGGGCAGCAGGTTGAGGAATCCTGAGGTCCTGGAAATTCAGGGTTCATTCCTCACCCAGTCTATTTCCAAGAGTTACTGTAAAGATAAAATTGGAGGTGGGAAACTGGGTAGAGCAGCTTGGACTCCCAGCAGTTTACCAGTTGTTGGGGAACATGGTCGTTGCATTCTTTGAGAGGCAGTGTGGTATAGTGGTTAAAAGTGTGGGTCTGGGACTCAGATCCCGGGCAATGCCAGATGCTGATTTTATGGCCAAAAGGCTTGCAGCTCTGCAGTTCTCACCAAGCACATAGCAATGATATTATTGCAGAAAGATAATAACATCACAGAAGCTCCAATCAGTCCTCCAGATCTGCACCAGATTTCATGCCCTGTGGACTGAGGTGAGCAGGCGAGGGTTGCACAAAGCTCAACAGGCAACTGCCATGTGCTTTTGCTGGGAAAGAAAGGCTCATTCCCAGTCCTACTGGAGAAAGATTGGTCCCCACACCCCACTCGTTCCTTCCTTCCCCACTCCATTCATCACCTGTGCCTGTTCTCCCCTTTCAGGAGACTATTGGACCTTCTTGATTCTGGCGTCTGTGATCCTTTCTGGGCTCGTCCTGTTGGGAGTAGTTGGTAGGGCTTTCCTTAAGGGTTACATCCATCCAAGCTCCTCGGAAATAGATGTCCTCAAATCACTGGTGAGTGAAGACTAATTAGCTTTGTTTGGAACAAGCATGGACAATTTTGTCTCCCATTTTCCTGGATTTGTCTAACCTGTGAGGATAGCTAAACACGGACTGCGCCTCAAATCTGTTTGTTTGTTTATTTATTTATTTTCTATCCTGCTTTTTTCTTATCACAAACTCAAAGTGACTTACATAGTTCTTCTGCTCTCACTCCTTTCCCCACAACAGCAACCCTGTGAGGTAGGTTGGGCTGAGAGTCTGTGACCAGCCCAAAGTCACCCAGACACAAACATCCTGTGTGTCTCCCCAAAGACTACGATAGAATGAATCTGTACACCTTCTCCTACCTTCAAGTTTCTTAAATCTCAAGAACTTTCTAGCCTACTTTTCTGAAAAAAGTATTAATTTTGATCAGTACTTATCAAATAATAAAGTGAATGAACTCCTGACTCATCTGCACTGTCAAATTCCATCCACACACTTATCCCTAGCACGGAGAGGGAAATGTTGTACCTGCCCCCCTTCTAGCTGCTAACGAGGAGGAGCCTGCCAGAGAAAAGATTTGGCAACCCTCATTCAGGGCCACAAGCATAACTGAACTCACAGGAATGCAAACTCAGAGCTTTCAGAAGTGAGTTAAAAGCCCCCGGGCTTATCTCTCAGCTTCACAAGAACACGAGAAGTTCCATGCTTTCTGGTTTGGTCTCCTGTTTTCCACAGTGCTCAACCAGCTGCCTGTGGGAATCCCAGAAAGAAGATATGATTGCAATAATATCTTCTTGCTTATGGTCCTTGACATCTGGCATATAGAGCCGTGCCTTCTTCCACTTTTACATGTTTTAAAAATCTGAAGTTTCTCCCATCCCATTTCTGGAAAAATTTGCAAATCTGGGTAAGTATATTTATCAAAGCTTCCTGTGCAAACCAAGCTAAATTCATACTCACCTTTATGAAGAGCACCAATGACATCTGTGCACCGTAGTTTTAAACCTGCTTCAAGAGTTTTCTAGTGATGCGCTTCAGGTTACGGCAGAACACATCTGTTCTTATTACTGTGCTTGTCTCTTTTCAGTGCTTTTGCCCAGCTTTTCAGCCTGAAAAGGGTCCTAAAGTGACTTACAGCGATAAGGCAGTCCCTGTCCTTATTCTGACAGTCCCAAAAACATGACATGAAAGGAAAAGGAAACGGGAGCGGGGAGGAAATAAAAATTCAGACAGCAGTTCTTAGTTTTAAATGCTTACATTCGTGTTTGGCGTGAGAGGGGATTTGTACAAGCTGATAATTTGTTCATCGTCCGCAGACATCGCTGAACGTGAATCTTTCTGCTTTGAGAGCTGTCCTTCACTTGGAAGACGACGCCATTGCTTCCCTCTCCATGGTGGGGTTGCCCTTGGATAGCAGCAGCACGTCGGCAGAGCAGGGACAACCTGGGGCCCAGTGGGCTCCCCCGGATAGTTGTCATGCCCAGGAACTGAATGACTACTGTGCCAATGGATTTGTTCGAAGCAGTTTAGGCCACGAGGGACCTTCCACTTCCCCTGTTGCTACTGGTGACACTTCCTCATCTGGAGGACTGCTGAGGGACGAATATCCAAATGACAGGAGCTACAGAACCACTTTAGAGCTCTTGGAAACTTCTGGGCATCCGTTGCCTTCATCCACAGAGCTTCATTCACAGGACTCGGAGACAGGCTTCTGGGAATGGACAGGCAAAAGGAGCAAGGACAGTGGGCAGGCGGGATGGCCTCTTTCTTCTGCAGTTAATATTCCCCTCCACACTGTGAAGCTGTGCACTGTTCAGGACGTGCAAGGCCTCCTACAATGTCCAAGTGTTTCTCTTCAAGTAGGAGACTGTGGTGCCCACCCAGCAGGCCACAGATTCACAGGCATGTCAGAGGCACCGAACGTCCCACAGGTCCAGCCTGGAAGCGAGAGACCAACAGGCGATGCATCTCCTGGGTTATGAATTCCGCCAGTCCATCCTTCCTTGTGAATTGTATTTCCCAGTGTAATGTGTCTGTCTGTCTGTTTTTTATTTATTCCTAAATTACTCCCAAGTATGTATAAGCTGCTTTTCTGATTGATGCATACAGCAAAAGAAAGTGTGTGGATCCAATAGATATGTGGGCTCATCGGAAAGATGTTCTTTGCTAACAAAAGGGGCACTTACAGCTGTGGCTGAAGGCAAGGAAAGTCTTGAAGTCTTGTGTTGAAGGAGGGGCAAGATCAATTGACTGTCATTTCTTCAGTATTTCCGTTCGTCTCCTCTCTCTGCCACCAATCAGCTTCATGGGATGTGCACAGACTCTGCACCAATTGCAAGTAGCGGCTGATTTGATCTTGGCCTCGTTTAAAGTGCTGGTGTCAATCACTTGTATTTCTGCCAGGCTAAATGGATTTACCACATGCTAATGAAGTCAGCTCAGCTCAGAGATTAGGATGGATTGGGGAGGTGGGCAAGAAAATGGCCCTGGGATGGGGGGACAGCTGGGGGTTGATCCATTGTGTTAATTAGGTGATGAGAAGAGCAAGAACCTTCAGTTGTTGTTGTTGTTGCTTTTAAGGCAATCCAGGGATCCTGCATCCTGAAACCCAGACCACACTCCCCAGTCCCCCTTGCTGACTCGCACAGGAGTAAGTTTCATTAAAGGTAATATGCTTTATTCTGAGTAGGCTTTTGTAACGGGCTGCTTTCAACTAGTTCTTCCTCACCCAGTGATGGAAGGAGAGTAAGAAATCTGTGCCAGTCCTCCACGCGAGTGTGTTAGCAAAGAGAACATTTTTTGTGGCACCACCCTGCTGAAGCCCATTCCTCCTTCTCCAGAACACACTGAAATTTACACCACGGAATAGTTAAAAGTCCTGATTGAGCCGGCCTGAAGAAATCTAGGCTTCCATGGCAGAAAAAGTGCAGAAGATGGCTTGGCGTGAGTGTCCTATGATACGCTCATAATCAGGCATTGCAATGCTGGTAACGGAGCCTTGTGTTGATCCCCCTTAACCCCCCCCCCCCCACGTAAACTTGGCCAGTATTGACTGCTTCTTTCTATTGTCTGTCATTGTTGAGGATTCGATAGGCAACTGGGACATGGAAGGCGACTGACTTCCACGTCAGTTCTGGAACTGCTTTGAAGGGGAAGTCCATCAAGCGCCAGCTCTTCCCACTTGGAGCTGGGCACTGGACGCCATTCTGTTCCAGAAGGACCCTTGGTGCTACGAATCATTTCATGCCACCCCATTTATGCCTTGGATGCCGCTGTGAGTTCATTTGGATTGTCCCCTGCTTCTCTTCCCTGTATGTGCCTCTGTAGGCTGCTTCAGATTTCTTTTCAGTTCAAAATGTACAAATAAATCAAATGACCAACTAAATATTGGTTGCTATGTAACATGCTAATTGAAGTGTCTTACTAAATTTTTGACTCTTATTTTCAGGGGCTTATTTGCTACCTCCCGTTGCCTTGTACAAGCTGGAACAATCGGGATCCAGCCAAGAATTTTTCATCCAATGACTTTTGACATCCTGTTAAATAAGAGCAAATTGAATATGGGACACAATAGATATGATCAAGACAAGTGACGTGAAGCAGTGATGGGGAGCCCAAGTCAAGATGGATGAGTGGAGGGCTCCGTCTGTCTCTCCTCATCCTTCTCTGATGGGCAAGGAATGCATTACCTGAAGAGAAATGAGTCTGTCAGGGCTGAAGCTGATAGATGAATGTCTAAGCCGCTCCTTCAATGGCTTGTCTGGCTCAAGGACTCTTTGTCTGGCGCAGGGCCAGCATCAAGGTTGGGCATGGCTGGGCACCTGTCAAGGGCCTGCAGGGCAGCAGGGGCAACCTGACAAGCGTCTCATGGACCTGAGCCTCCTCTTCCCCATTGCAGCCTGCCTCTTGCTCTGGCTCAGGTCACCTTACTCGTGAGGACGATGCCACGGCCTCTTCGCCCCGTCCCTCTCTTGCTCTTGCAGTGATGAGGAAGGGGTCAAGGAGCAAGAGCAGTTGCTGGCAAGGCAGTGAGAAGGTGAACTTGCTGTGGGATGGGACCATTGCAGCTGTCTGGCGCAAGGGGCCTCCAGAACCTGTGGCCGGCCCTGCTCTGGCCACTGGGAAAAAAGACCTTGAGGGGATATTAGAAGAACTGGTCCGCTTGGCCTTGAGAAGAGAAGATTGAAGGGGACAGGGTCCTGCTTTCCAAAGACTTGAGAGGCTGTCACCCAGAGGAGGCCAGGATCTCTTCCCAATCCTCCCAGAGTACGGGACATGGAATGGCAGACTGATGTTACAGGAAGCCAGATTCCAGGTGGATAGCAGAAAAATCCTTCAGACTGGTAGGGCATTCCAGGAGGTCATGTGCTTTCCTGCAATGGAGGCCTTCAAGAGGCAGCTGGGCAGCCATCCATCAGAGAGGCTTTAACAGGAGTCCTGCACTGAGCAGGAGTTGGACTGAGTGGCTGTAGGGTTCAGCTCTACGATTCGATGATTCTGCAGCCAGTCAATGGCCTAAGCTATGGCACGCAGCCACCACAAAGCATTCTTGTTTCTCCAGTGCGCATTCTCAGCATAGCCGTGCATTTTAGAGGCATGCTCATATAAAATGCAATTATTCTGGCCGCACTGCAGAAACAGGCAAAAAGTGAACATGGTGTCCAAATAATAGGTTAGATCCTGAATCAGTCATGTTTAGAGTAGACCACTGGAAATAAATTAGGATTTGTTTGTTTGTTTGTTTGTTTGTTTAGCACTCCAGGGACCACTTCGTATCCAGAGATAATGTGTCTATTCAAAGTACATCTGCATCCAAGCCATTAACCTGGTTTATGCATAGCAACTCATGGGCTGTTGGGCAGAAATGGGGATTCGTAGTTGTACCGCCTGCAGTGAGTTCACTTCTTCCTCTGTTACAGAACAATCCAAGCTCAGCTCCCTTGTAGGTTGAAGGATGTGACACCTGAACTTATAGCATTTTATTGTTTGGAGGCCAAACAACCCAGCAATTAACCCATGAGTTGTTATTGGATTGATTACCAGGTTGTTTAGGCCCTAAACAACCTGGCAGTGCAGATTGGGACACGGATCTACAAGGGGGCTGGTCATGGGTGGTGGAGCAAAAGAGAAGGTGTGGATGAGCATGCCTGCTCATCCATGCCCAAGCACAACAGCCCATGGGTTGCCATTACATGCAAGCCGGTGGGTCAGAGATAGGCTTGCTTAGAGAGGACAAGGTGGTCGTAATTACGGCCTTGCCCTTTCTCATCCTGCCCTGCCTCTGGTGAATCTGTGATCAGGGGCAGGAGCCAATTATCCATCACATCTCACGGGTATACTTGGGTGGACCTGCCAATACGTGTACCAAACCTGTCCTAGGGGTTAGTACAGATCACGAGTGCTAACACACAACTCAGAACCTTTCTAGCTGCCCAAAGTCCTGCTCAAAGGCAACCAGTGAAGGATGCCAAGCTATGCATGTTTAGACATCTAAAAAGTCCTACAACTCACAGCTAGCATGGCTGACAGGAATGCTGGAAGTTGTAGGGTATATTTTCATCTAGGCATGTATAGGATTGCATCCTAATACTTTTTTTTATTTTATACATGAGGAGAGAAACTTATTTATTTTGCAAATGATGTTGAGAAAAAATAAGTGGTTTCACAATGGCAGAGAGATGTGTATTGAGTTTTGAGACTTGATCAGCTATAAGGAGTTGGAGAGCCTTGCTGAATTCTGCCAGTGGACACCTTTTTCCAGCCCGTCTTAGAGAATTTGGTTGCTTGCTTTTGGAATTCAGGAGCTGAGCTAGATGGATCCTTGATGTGTTCTAGTAATGAATTTGAAGAACATTATTTTGATCAAAGAACAGCTGGTGACCGGGCATCCGCTCAGGTTTTGGCATGAGGCCCCGGGGTCCTACAGGAACATATAAGCAGACGATCCCACCGTCCCAGCTTGGATGAATTCTTCACTCCAGCATCTCTCTGGCAGGAAGTGGGGGAAGATACATCACCAAGGAAGTGGTGTTTGCTGCTGCCAACAGTGCCTTCCTCAGCATGGCTTTTTGTGGAAAAAGTGGGCAGTGATATTTGCAGAGGGGATATCCAATGAAAGGAAAGGAAGATTTGTATTTTGTGTACAAAAAGGTTGTCTCTGTTTCGCCATTGATTTCATTCAGGTCAGGCCGAAACCATTGTTAACTTCAGCACTTGCTTGACGTCACAATGCTCCATTTCTCCTCCAGGTTCTCTTGGCCAAAACAAACAGTAATGAACCCTGCGATCCAGTCCAAACATTTGTTAAGGGCTACCTGTTCAAGCGACGATAGAACAGAAGCATAACGGGATGATGTGCGTTGGGATGACGAACCCCTAATATCCGCTTGCCCGTTTGTCATTGCGATGGATGGATGGCTTGGATGAGAAGAATTGCTTGCGAGGTGATAATGATGTATTGATCTCACGAGGATGGATGGATGGATAGATGGAGAGGGTATAAAGGAAGGGTCTTTTTCTGTCCAAGCACTCGAGATCTTTCCAATTTGGCCAAGCTGCAAAGAGGGAAGAAGGCAGATGGAGGTGCATTCCCAGAGCCTCGTGTCTGCCCTCGTTGTCCTTTCCGTACTCTGCTGCTTCAGTGCTTATCCTGCTTACCCAGACAAGGATAACATGCAAGGTAAGGACTGTGGCTGATCAAGGTTTTGAGTGGAAATTTGTCAGTAAAGGGAGGCCTGACAAAGGTGTCCAAAATTATTCATGATGTGGAGACCATGGGGTAGGGAGACACTCTTCTCTCTTGTACATAATGCTGGAACCTGGGGTGATCCCGTGGAGCTCATTGGTGGGAGATTCAGGTTATAAAAGGGAGCAATTCTTCACACAACGCATAAAGTGAGGAATTCACTGCCACAGGAAGGAGTCGTGGCCATCCATTTGGACGGCTGTAACAGAGCATGAGACAAATTCCTGGAGGGGAAGGTTATCAGCGGCTACTAGCCTGGATGGGCATATGCTACCTACTGCCAATACCAGAGGTAATATGCCTGTGCAACCAGCTGCTGGGGAACATGGCTGGGAGGATGCTGTGGCACTCATGCCTTGCTTACAGTTGTTTCTTGGGGAACGGGTTGGTCACTGTGTAGAGGATGCCAAGCAGAGGGACCATTGCTCAGATGCAGGGTGGCTCTTCTGATGTGCTGATGGTGGCTGGGGAGGTGCCAGGGAACAACCGGGGAAAGGAACTGTAGCCATCAGGCCCTGCTTGTTGGCCAGCACAGACCCTTGGAATGTGGATGTCCACCGCTGTTGTGGGATTGCATCCATCTCCTCGTGCATGCCTCGAACCCACTTTGACAGCCAGCCGGTGCCCATTACTGCACCAACAAACGCCATGGATGGGTGAGGGACAATATGAGACAGTACTTTCATGTGCATACCCTCATTCTGCTGCAAATCGTTTCCACTGGGTGACCCTGACTTCTTGCCTATGTTGTAGCATAAAGGCTATTTTACGTATGTTTGTTTCAAGTGCTTCCTGACAGTTAGGACTCCTAGGGTAAGGAAAGGGCTTCCACAGGAGGCAGTTGAAGTCCAATGGTTGGACATGCACATGGTAGGCATGCCATGAGGGAAGCTGGCTGGAGCTGGGGGTCAGACTAGATGGCCTGGGAGACCCCTTCTGACTTGCTCTGTTTCTAAGTTTCTAAATCACTTGGGTGGCTGCAGCAGAGAGACGAGCCTTTTCCAGCTCAGCACCCTCCAGATGTGTCAGGCTGCTGCTCGTGTCATCCCTACCCAGCAAGATCATTGGCTGGGGATGATGGGAGCTGGAGTCTGGTGGGTTTGGCTTGCCTTGTTATGTCCTTATTTTCTTCATCGGTGCACCAGTGTTTCTGCCCCTTCTGTGACTGGAAAAGATACCCCATCCCACCTTATGTTTTATTCAGATTTTGTACCTACAGATTTTAATTTGGTGGACAACGCAGTAGGATTTATACCTGATGATGCACCTTCTGCTGGAATTCGCCAGTCCCAGAATCTGAACTCAGCACTCTCTGCCTTGGAAGAAGAAATCAATCAGATCCAGAAAGGTAGACGGTGGAATGGTTAGTGTGACTATGTGGTTTAGAATCCCTCCTTCCCAATACTGTCCCCCATTCATTTACACCGGGATGTAGGCTGGGAAATAGCTGCCCTTCCATCCACCCTTCCTTTCAAGTCCCAGAGAAGTACCCGCTTCTGAGTAAGCCAAGCCCATCCTTGTTGAAGGATCAGTTTTCGCCTTCACAATGGCAAAATAAGGAAGCAGACATTCCCAAGCTGGAAGCTATTTTGAAATGTCTCAGCTCCATCATCATATTGAACAGTTGCATAGCAACATTCACCTTGCTCTAAATGCCAGAAATGTGCTGTCACAGCAGGGGTCTCATCTGCAGTCTGGCAAAGTGGACCCCTGTTCCCAGGGCTGCCCTGAGGCCAAGGCGTTTTTGTATCTCGTGTGCCATGGAGGACTCTCTTGGGATGAGGTCAGCTGCTGGGTTGTGTGGTACCTCTACTCTGGGTTCGGGAAGAGCTCTTGCTGAGAGGGAGCTGAGGTGAACCCCTGTGAGGACTGGAGCATTGCCTGCCTTGTTTTTAACTTCTTTTGTCTCGCAGGATGACTGTGCAGGGCCCTCTCTCTTGCTCTGTGGTGTGTTGCGGTCCCATTTCTCTCCGCTACTCTAGGGAGCCCTTGTGGGGGAGTGGTTAAGAGTTCAGGGCTGGGACTCAGGCAACCTGGGTTCTCGTCCCTGCTCAGCCATGGAGCCCACTGGGTGACTTTGGGCCAGTCACAGACCCTCAGCCCAGCCTCCCTCACAGGACTGTTGTTGTGGGAATAAGCTTGAGAGCAGAAAGAGGAGTATGATGTAAGCTGCTTTGAGTTCTTTGTAAGAAAAAAGCGGGACATACATCTAATAAATAAATGTTTCCAGATTATTTTTTTACTTGTTGCAGCAGGAAAGGACTCCATTCAGGATGAAACAGCTGATAATCTGGTGAGTGTTCATGGCACCCCTTCCCATTCTTCACATATAACCGGAGGCACAGCCTTGCGTATTCATAACAACCCTTTCTGCAGTCAAAGGAGCATTGCCTGAGTATTCCCCCACCCCCAGATCTGCTACATATCCCCAAAGTCAATTCTCAGCCTCCTGTAACCCCTTTCCCCTTTGGGTCAGATCTTTAGGTCAGGCTTGGACAGGTTTATGGGGTCTTCTTTCTTTCGCCACTTGGAACGCTTGGGTGCCCCGATGGGTGTGGGTGGGACAATGAAGGAGCAAAGAACATCTGAGCACAGGCTAGTCCAGGAATTTGCCATCTGGCCCAGAACCATGTTGCTTTTCAGGTGAAAGAAGTCAGGGCGATTCTGTGGAAGCTGGCGGCAGCGGACAAGCTTCGGAGTCAAGGGTTTGCCAGAGCAGACCAGTCTCCTCAGAAGCCAAGCAAGAGAGGTGAGACTTTTCTGGAATGCAGGAATGAAAGCACAGCAGATTAACACGCTTGGAATCTGGGCTGGACTGTGGTGGGGAGGGAGAAGGGGGTTTGCTCTGGGTTTTTTTCCTGTCCCCTTTTGGGCCTTAGGTTGAAAAACTGGTTTGGTTCTTGCTGAACTACAAAGCACTCTCATGATCTTCTGTCTTGAGAAAATCATACTGGTAGCTTTCTGAGGGTAGAACACATGCTTTGCTTCCAGAAGTCTCCAGGTGGGACTAGAAAAGTTCTCTGACTTTCCTATGGCTAAGAGGAATGGCTTTCCTGCTGACAGCCAGTGTGGTGTAGGAGTTTGAGTGCTGGACTGGGACTCCTGTTTCTGTCTATGATGTCTCACGCCTTCCCATCTTTCTTTGCCAGCGTGTTTCTGGAAGTACTGCGTCACCAACTGAATCCAAGAAGCTGCTTCGTCCTCCCTGCACAGCTGTACATGTGGCGTGGATGTTTCCCAAATCCCTCCAATATAACACCTTCGAGCCCAGCCTGTCCAGAACATCGATGCCTTACTGCCGCCCTTCACTGCACCAGCTGAGCTAAGCCAAGCCAGGCCAGGCTGGCCCCGCAGATGAAGGTCCTGCTGCTTTGCATTGTGCACAGAATCTTTCACGTTGCCCCGAGGGCCTCTTTGGGTGGCTGGAGGAGATGCTCCATAAGATGCTGGTCGTCTCCACAGCAGAATGAGGGAGAGCAGGATGGCTCCTCCCGGGTTTGCCAACTGGCTATGGGGAGGGGCAGACCCTCCTCTTCCACAGGGCAAGCTCACCAGCATGGAGCCTATAACAGCAGCTGAATTCAGCCAGCCCTTTCATTGACTTAGCATGAGCTACGCCCATCCTCTTTGCTGGTTTTGCCCATCCCACAGCCCTCCTGCTGCTGGCACAGACACCCAGCAGAAGAGCCAAAAGCATCAGGAGCACCATCTAGCCATTGCCTTCATCTGGTCCAAGAGGCCAGCAGGGGCGGCAGCAGGACAGGCTGGTCTTGGGACTGGGCCCCCTGTAGGAGCCTAGCCATGTACCACCCTGCTCTGTCCCAGCCCTCCTCAAGATGACCCATCTTCTTTCTCTTAGCACTGTCAAGCAAAGCACCAGAAGCAGCACAAGCACGTTACAGCTGTTCAGCTGCTCTTTTGCTTGTTTTCATGATATTGGTTTGCAGAACACATCGTTCAGCACTGATCGGGACTCCATTTTGAAGCTGACGCTTCTGGAAAAATAGATGCCGTTCATGTCCTTAGTGGGAGAGTGGTGGTGGTATAAGGTGTGTGTCTGCAGGTGCAGTGGCTAATAGTTTATGAGATCCCATTTCCCATCGCAGTTACCTGGCCAGGTTTTTCCTTGCATGATGCCGTGAATGTTCTTGCCTTTTTGCTTACACATGGAGCAAGCCCAAGGGTAGTCTTTCTCACTGGACTGGGTTAGAGAAGGATGCCAGTCAGCATGGCTCACTCCATAGTGAAGCACTACCCACACGACATGGACTTTGACATTGCCAGCAAAACAGGTATGGTCTCCTGCGGCAACTGTGTCAGTTCGTGGCAATCATTCAAAGTAAGATCCCAGACCTTTCAACAACCTATTATCCCCATCCCTTGGCGTGAGCACATCCCTGTGACACCAAGCCTCTCTTGCCATTCCTTGTTGTACTGAATAAAACCTCACAGTGTTTGCTGTTGGAGAGAATGTCTCTTTCTTTGCACTACAGGCTTTCTTTCCATTCTTGGGATGCCATTCCTTTTGTTGTGCGTGGAAGATACAGATGAGTGCAGGGGACAGTGAAAAAGCACGCAGCCAGCATCCTGGGAGGCACTGGTTCCCCTCTAATTCACCACTAGTTAGACCCCATCTTGAATACTGTGCCACAGTTCAGGGAGGGTGTAGAGGATTGCAGTGGGGATGACCAGGGCTCTGGAAATGAGGTGCTGTGGAATTGGAAGACCTGTTTAACCTGGTGGAGAGAAGACTGAGGGTCAGGCTTGACAGGCTGTCCCAAAGATGAAAGACAAGATCCCTTCTCAATCATTCCAGAATGCAGGAAACGGAATAACAGACTGCAGTTACAGGTAGCCAGATTTCAGACTGTCGGAGCGGTACAGCCATGGAAGCAATGTCCTAGGGAGGCCATGGGCCCTCCCACACTGGAGGCACTCAAGAGGCAGTTGGGCACCTGTCCGTCTGGGATGCCCAAACTTGTGGTCCTGTATTGAGCAGGGGCTTGGACCCAATGACCTTCCCACTCAACTAGTCTATGATTCTATGACCGGGTTCAGACAACATGATGACCCACACTCAAGGGGTCAGTATGGGAGTATGGGTCCAACTGAGAATGGATTCTTGTTGAAGCATAAGTTATTGTGTTGTCTGAGTCTAGCTCTGCTAACAGGCTATGGCTTGCTAACAGCAAAGAACCCATGAAGACACCCCGGCATTTGTGGCTGGCTTGGGAACTGTAGGTTGTCCACTCTGGTTTGTTATCTCAGCCAGGTTCAGGCAACATGATAACTCGCTCAATGACACTTGGATATGGATTATCATGTTGTCTGCACTCAGTCAGTACTACCTAAAATCTGTGAGTGGCAGAGTCCTTTCGCACAGGTTCTTTTCTGGGCTCAGGATTCTTTAATTCTAAGCATACAACTTTCGCACCAGACTCTGTTTGGTGATATTTGTGAAAAACAAAATTGATCCTGAAGAAGCCTGACGTCTGCCCATCACTGGACCTGTGTAAGTTGTATATAAAATAAAGTTTATTATCATTACAGTAAGACAAAGTCAACAGGCACATTCGTTTTTTAAAGCGGAATTTCCCCTGTTTAAGTGCAACAAAGACATTCAGAGCTCTCTGAGAGATAACACAACAAAGTGTTTTCTTGTGGCACCTTAAAGCTTTCCACATCTAGGAAGCAATCCTACCATCCCTAGACAGTGCCTGGGGTACTGCAAAATGTTTTGGATTCCCAGATTTGAAGTTGGAGGATTTGGTGATTCCTGTCAGAGCTGCTTCCAGGATCTTTTGCGGAACACCCTTGGTGGGCCCGGGTTCTCCGAGCCCGCCACTGCCACCAGTTGCTGGCTTACCAGGCAGGGAGGAAGTTGGAATGAGCTGCTGCACCTTCTGCTGCCTGGAGCACCGCAGGAGGCAGGTGAACAAGAGGCCACAGTCGCAGTGAAGAGGAGCAAGTCCACAGACTGCTGCCAGCAGCTCTTGCTGGACAAGAAGCCAAGCAGTGCCTGCCCTTGACACTGGCCCTGTCACTCTCTTTACTGATGCCAAACGGAGCTGTTAGCTATCACTTTTCCTATCACCTTCTTGGGGCCGGCGGGAGTCTTTCCTTCTTTAAGATCTGCCTGCCCGCCATGTATCCACAGAAGCACAGAAGCCTGCTATAATCCCCAGCCTCCTGTGCACACAGAACTGCACCCCTGCTGCATTTTTGTGTGTTTTTCCTAAAAAGAAACTGCTGCGCTTGCTGGCTGAATGGCTGTAACAGCACATCAGCTCAGCTCTTGGGCCTCCTGTGCCCGGCTAGGGAAAAGGAGGATGCTCAGGGTTCAGCTCTACCTTGGCTGCTGCACCCTTAGAGGGCAGACGAGAAGACCTTGCATATGCATAGAAACACACTTGTCTCCAGCAGGAGTGGAAGAAATACTTTTCTAGGAAATGTGGGGAAAGAGGGATTTATTTCCCAGGGCCCGTCAGGAAGCAGGTCTGTCTGAAAGTGCAGTGGATCACACTGAGTGCCATAAGCATCCAAGATTCATGGTCAGGAGGAATTATCACGATATCTTGGGAATGTTTCCTAGCTAGCTTTCAGTGAGGTTAGAAGGAACTTACTCTGCCAGTTTCTCCTCGCTCAGGCTTTGGGGGCTCTCGATATGTCTTGGAAGAGAGACGCGTGCAATGCAGTTATTTGGGAATTAGCGTTTCTTACATTTGGAATTAATGAAGAAGCTTCCTGTGGAAGTTTCCAGAGTCTCCGTGTGTTGCTTGGAGAGAAGACCAAGGCATGGATTGTGAGTTGAGCAGGTCACCTCACCTTCCGCCCGCCCCCCAGCCTCCACTACCGGCCACACTCCTATCAGCTGTTTCTGCCACCACAAATCCCCACACAGGTAGTCAGTTCAACATGCGAAGAAGACAGATGTGAGTGAAGAGAGGCTTTTTCACAAAGCATTTGAGTGACTCCTTGAGGCCGAGCACGGTGAGCACCCAGACCCAGGAGAATCCCAGCATGGCGAAAGGACCTCCCTGAGGAGGACCTCTACCTTGGAAGGATAACTGGAACTTGCAGGTGACGAAGGGAATGACACCTCTTCGGGAATGTTGGCCCTTAGCTCATCTTCTTGGCCATGTTGGCATAGGTGCGCTCAATCTCTTCATCAGCTGGGCAGGTGTGGCTAAATTCATCCCGAGCATAAGCATTGTTGAGATAGCGCCAAACAGCTGTCATCTCCAGGGGGATCTCAAAGTTGCGGTATTTCTTCGCAGCAATCTAGGGTGGCGTTAGGGCATGAAATGGAAGTGGAAGTAGAGAAGTGAGAGATAGAGAATAATTGATGAGCTGTGCAGAAAAAGCAACTCAAGGAAGGCGTTTTCAAAATCGCAGCCTTTTCTATGGTACCTTACCCCTATTTAAGGGTTGGGGGTGTGCACCAGGCTAGGGTTAGGGTTAGAAAAACGAGGGGTCCTGGCATGATTTTGATGGTTGGAATGTGTGTAGAACGGGCAGAAATGATGAGCTGCGCGGAAAAAGCAACTCATGGAAGGCTTTTTCTAAATCGCAGTCTTTCCAATGGTACCTTACCCCTATTTTAGGGTTGGGGGTGTGCACCAGGCTAGGGTTAGGGTTAGAAAAACGAGGGGTCCTGGCATGATTTTGATGGTTGGAATTTCTGTAGAATGGGCAGAAATGATGAGCTGCGCAGAAAAAGCAACTCAAGGAAGGCTTTTTCAAAATTGCAGTCTTTCCAATGGTACCTTACCCCTATTTTAGGGTTCGGGGTGTGCACCAGGCTAGGGTTAGGGTTAGAAAAACGAGGGGTCCTGGCATGATTTTGATGGTTGGAATGCGTGTAGAACGGGCAGAAATGATGAGCTGCGCAGAAAAAGCAACTCAAGGATGGCTTTTTCAAAATTGCAGTCTTTTCAATGGTACCTTACCCCTATTTAAGGGTTGGGGGTGTGCACCAGGCTAGGGTTAGGGTTAGAAAAACGAGGGGTCCTGGCATGATTTTGATGGTTGGAATGCGTGTAGAACGGGCAGAAATGATGAGCTGTGCAGAAAAAGCAACTCAAGGAAGGCTTTTTCAAAATTGCAGTCTTTCCAATGGTACCTTACCCCTATTTAAGGGCTGGGGGTGTGCACCAGGCTAGGGTTAGGGTTAGAAAAACGAGGCGTCCTGGCATGATTTTGATGGTTCGCATGTGTGTAGAATGGGCAGAAATGATGAGTTGTGCAGAAAAAGCAACTCAAGGATGGCTTTTTCAAAATTGCAGTCTTTTCAATGGTACCTTACCCCTATTTAAGGGTTGGGGGTGTGCACCAGGCTAGGGTTAGGGTTAGAAAAACGAGGCGTCCTGGCATGATTTTGATGGTTGGAATGCGTGTAGAACGGGCAGAAATGATGAGCTGTGCAGAAAAAGCAACTCAAGGAAGGCTTTTTCAAAATTGCAGTCTTTCCAATGGTACCTTACCCCTATTTAAGGGTTGGGGGTGTGCACCAGGCTAGGGTTAGGGTTAGAAAAACGAGGCGTCCTGGCATGATTTTGATGGTTCGCATGTGTGTAGAATGGGCAGAAATGATGAGTTGTGCAGAAAAAGCAACTCAAGGAAGGCTTTTTCAAAATTGCAGTCTTTTCAATGGTACCTTACCCCTATTTAAGGGTTGGGGGTGTGCACCAGGGTAGGGTTAGGCCTGTGGTGGCGAACCTAAGGTGTGTGTGCCACAAGGGGCACACAGAGCCCCCTCTGTTCCCATGTGATCCACCTCGCCTCACATTGCCCCAGTCGCTAGCAGCTCAGCCTCAGATCGCATCGCACGTAGGGCCTCTGCCCGTGCCTGGGAGCCGTAGCAGCACCGGGCCATGATGTCATGGGTTGCAACTCATTCGCCACGACTCATTCAATCTTTTGCATGGTTGGTCTGCGCGCTGCCAAGGACGTATTTACATTTTCTTGGACTGGTTATGGGTTTTTTTTTCTGAACTAATACCTCAGTTTTCAGGTTTTATCATAAGGTTGGCACTTCACAATAAATAAGAGGGTTTTGGGTTGCAGTTTGGGCACTTGGTCTCTAAGAGTTTCGCCATCACTGCTAAGGAGCTCGACATGGAAGATCTCTTCTTGCTGATCCCAGGGTATAGGATACAGAATAATCAATTCATGCTGTGACAACCCTGATTCAAGCTAGATATCAGGAAATGCTTCCTTACAGTCAGAGCAATACAATAGTGGAACCAGCTGCCTACAGAGGCCATGCGCTCTCCCACACTGGAGACATTCAAGGAAAATCTGGACAGCCATCTGTGTGGGATGGTGTAACGTGATGTCCTGCAACAGCAACGAGGCCCCTTCCAACTCTACTATTCTGTGATTGATAAGTTCTTATGAAAATCCAAACTGAATAAAATCCCGCCCTCAGTCCGGAATCTAGTCTCCTTCAGCCTTGATCCTCTGCTCTGAAAACCAGCCAACACTCACCTTGATGATGTTGAGTTTCGGGAGCAGGTTACAGTCAGCTAATGTCATCCAGTCCCCATCCAGGAACTTCCTTTTTGAGACAAGCTCTTCCTCCACACAGTCCTGGTCAATTTCTTCTGGCAGGGGGTGTTTTAAATAGTCATTCAGGCGCTGGAATTCTTTCAGCAGAGCTTTCTCCATATCTGAATCGCAAGAACCACTCACAGAATTAGACCGATTGGCCGATTTTTTAAAAAAATATATTTATTAAGAATTCACTTTCTATTTTTTTTAAAAAAAGCAATGTCTTATCAACAAAGCTCCAGTTCATGCACCCTCGGAAGACCAAGAACCAGTGTGGGGTGGCAGTCTGTGCATTTTCTAAATGCAAGCAAGAACATGCTAGGAGGATAAGCTTTCTTGCTCATGTTTGAGGCTGTGAATATTTTTGTGACAGCTTTGCAGTTGTGGCTGCAATTGAATGGTTTGTGCAAGAGCTTGATGTGGGGGTGGTGGTTAACCAACCATTCAAAATCCCAGCAGTGGCCCATGAGTTCTGGGTGGTTTGTTAATCACTCCAAGCACCCACTCTTGCTGGGTTCAGATGTCACAACAAGCCATACCGGTGAGGGTAATTGTGCAAATCCAGCCTGCATGCAACTGGAATGAGGTGAAAAGTAAAGACACTTCCATGCCTCATGAGTCATGCTGGGGTCATGCCAACTGGCCTCTCTACTTCCCTGGGGCAACAGCAATGTCCGGGTAGATCCCCAAAATTAAAGGCTTGCTCTTGGAAATGGTAGATATGACCTCACACTTCCTCTTCTCTTCATTTTAAGGTTGTAAGCCATCCTGAGATGTTGTTGTAAAGGACAGCATATAAATGTTTCAAATAAATAAATAGCTGTCTTATTTTTTCATTTATGGTTCCCCACCATCTTTTCCTATAGCAAACAGATATAATAATATGGAATAGTTCTTTAAAATGTCTCCATAAGAAGCGGGGAAAGAATAGATGGTTTGTTTCCCTTACTCTTGTGTGCTTCCTTGTGGGGGTTCTTGATGTATGCAGAAAACTTGGCGAAGATGTTCCTGCCGACATCCAGGGATTCCTTATATTTTGGGGTGAGTGATGGGCACCTAAAGAGAAGCACAGAATTAATTGGGATGCGTAGGAATCATAGAATCATTGGAGGTTGCTGGTCCCATATTGAGGCTACATGATTGCCTGATTGTCAGGAATTCTGTCCCACTGACCTTGAAAGAACAGGGGAACAAGGTCTTAAAACAATGAATGGGATTTAAAAGTTAAACACCCAGGGATGCGGAAAGCAAGGAAGGGATAGGCTGGGCTCAAACTGGATGTCACGCCGCCAGGGAGGAGGATGGTGGCAAATAAATGCAGGCAGCATCTTCTGAAATTGTCTATTCCATTCTATTTCTATTCCTTTTTGCATCTGGCAACTTAGTGGACGATAGAGCAAAATGTACGCGATCCCAAGCTGTGCAGGGAAAGCCTGTCCCCTTGACTGAAGCTCCTCCTTCTGCAGTTTTACTTCTGCCTTTGGGGAGAAGAGGACAAAAGAGGGCAAGGCACTTGTCCAGCAGTTATGTAGGAAGAGTTAATTTCATCCGGTCTCACTTGCATTACATTGTAGGCCATATCAACCGAGATGGTGCCCTCCAGAAAATTACACCTTGGCCATTTGCCACTGCTGAGTGGGGCTGATGGGTATTGCAGTGCTCTAGAGGGCATGAGGTTGAGGACAGTGGCACGTATGTATCAGATCAATCCGTCCTTCCACTGCCAAACTAAAACGTGGGAAGAAACAGGGAGGAAAAGAGAAGTGCGCAGGTAGCAGCAGTAAAATGGCCAGCCATCAGAGGGCGCTGATGGAATTTTCTGTGTGCACCTTTACCCTTTCTTAACTGCTGTTGTTGGGATGTCTTTAAAGCTTATTTTCACAACATAGCTGGCAGATGTTTAGAGATGTGTTTCTCTAAGCATAACCTAAAGACTTGCAGCACAAAGTTAAAGACTCTCCAGTTTATTGTGGCACAAAGTTTTTCAATACTTGTGACCTGGATTTATTTTGTGGATTTCAGCTGACATAAGCGTGCTTTCGCTTTACAGAGGCTGAGGGCTTGGGCCAGCCTTCCCCAATCTAGAGCCCTCCAGTTGTTTTGAATGGCAGCCATCCCTGACCATCGGCCATGCTGGCTAGGGCTGATGGGAAGTGTAGTCCAAAGCAGCAGAAAGGCACCAGATGGCTGGCATAGAGTTTAGGTCTAGGTAGATCCTAGTGTCCCAGTGTATACTGGAAAAAGGATAATAACTGAAGCTGCCTGTGATCACTAAGGAAAACCCTCTGTACCCGGGGTTGCCAGCTGACCAGAAAAACTTGCCTGACCTGTTCCTCTGCCTTTTTACAGCAGTTTGCTGTGCAGCAAACCACTTTTATAGCACCAAGAGAAACATTCTCAGATGGCAATCTTTTCTCTGGGAGCCTCAGCAGCAAGCGATGTTAAAGGCAGAGCTTTCTTTGGGTGCCAAATGGACTTGCCCCTTTGCTTCCCAGAGCAATAAAAACAGACGTGAGCTGTGTGGGCAGCCTCAGAGGCCTTTTGTGCTGTTACAACATCTGGAAAGGAGCGCGTTTCCTCATTTGCCTGTTCAGGGGTTGTGGGAGAACCAACTGTGTGGTGCAAAGGACAGCGTGCTGGGCTTACATTTGGGAATGGCTCAGGTTCAACTCCCTGGCTGATCCTGGGCCACCTTATAACAGTTGTGAGGATGAAGTGGGAAGAGGCACCAGGTAAAGCCCTTCCCAGGCCTAGGAAGGCTGGGATTCCAAAATCACAAGAAAGCTGCGATCCACTAAAGGGCCAGTTCTCCTGCCCCAGTACTGCTTATTTCCCCTGGCAGCAGATCCTGGGATCTCAGGCAGGGAGCTTCACATCGTATCTCCTACTTCAGGGGTAGAAGAACTTCAGTCTTGAAGGTTGAGCCAGGCCCTCCAGTTCTCCAGAAGGCCACATCACCTTCCCGTGGTCTCACCTTCCTTTTCCTGATCAGCCATCATTTGGCGTTGCTCAGCTTTTGCACGCTTCCCATCCACTTCCCTCTAAAAGGCTGAAAGTACCTCTCTGAAGGATAGAGGAAAGCTTGAGACTGATGTGTAGGGCCCCACCCCTGCTTTCTTCAGCCCCGCACCAGAATTCAGCCCCCACTAAATCCTGGAAGAGGCTTTGCACCACGTGCTAAGGAATCCCTTCGAGCTGAGATGCCGTGGGACGTTTGCTCGGCAAACCCGTGCCCCGCAGCCGAGCTCCAGCCCCAAGTTTGTAGGCTGGTGGGGGGGGGGGTGAAGCAGCAGCCTCCCTCCTCTCACATAAGTCCTGCAAACTCGAGCCAGGGAGCAAGCTTTCTCTTGCCTCCTCCGGCCCCAGTGTTTGTGTTTCCCCTGCACACTTGTGATTTACTGCAAAGGAGGCTTTTCTCAGAGGCTTGGTCTGCTGAGCACCTCCTGTTTACTGCAGCTGCAGTCAGACAATTCAGAGAGAAGGCGCCAACTATGAGCACATCCTGGCAGCTCTCCTAACCCTCTGGGCCCAAGTGTTTCTCTTGGCTCGGCTACAGGCACCATACGGGGCCTGTTAAAAAGCAAAGAGGCAACCTGCACACACAAACGCACAACTGGGTGCGGCGTGGGGGGCATCTCCAAACAGCCCTGCAAAGGAGCCCTGCGGCCCACCTGGGGCTGCTACACCTTCGCCCTTCCTTGCCGCATCTTTGCCTGGTTGTTCTCCCAGGGACTCTCCCACCATCCTCGCCTTCCCACCGCATTATCTGTTCCTCGCTTTGACAGGGAACTTCCTTTCATTGTTTTCACTCTCGCAGACCAACATATTTCCTCTCCAACCCTGGCAGGGGAAACAGATGGGTCTTGCAAGCTGTCCCCTCGCTCATCGGGGAGCCGAAAGAGCAGCTAGATCTTACTGCACCCACAGGAGCTCATTGCTTGTTGACAGAGGTCACGTCAGCCCTACCCACCAAACACAGAGCATCCAAGAGAAGCTCAAACGGTGCCCCTTTGGACATCTTCCTATTCTAGCCCCTGTGACCTGTTCAGCTCTTGTTAACAGGACAGTAATAGTTGACATAAGTGCACAAACAATAATTTTAAAAAGGAGATGTGTTTTGGCCATGTGTGGGTGGGAGAGAATCCCAGGTCCAACTCAGGATCTCAGAAAATAAAGCTGTCCCAGCCATACTGCCTTTATAGCAAACTATGCTTGACCAGAGGGGGGACAGTGCATACCATTCTGGTCACTGCCATTCAAAGGGGATGTTGTCAGGTTGGAAGAGGGCAAGCAAAATGGATACGTGGCTGGAGCAGCTTCCCACGAAGCAAGAGTGCAAAGTCTGGGACTGTTCTTCTTGGCGAACAGGTGAGTCATTGGGAGGGACGTGAACGGATGCATGGAAAGCTATGCATGGTGTGGGAAACGCAGATAGGGAGAATTTCTCTCCCTCTCTCGTAAGAGAACTGAGTCATTGCGTGAAGCTGAGAATCAGGATAGAAGCCCTGCGTGAAGCTGAGAATCAGGAGGTTCTTTTCGCACAGCATATGGTTATACTAAATGGCAAGGTTTAGTAGTTAGCTTAGATGGCTTGAAGATTGGACAGCTTTACAAGTGGGATTAGACCAATTCATGGAGCAGAAGGCTTTCAATTTGACAACTTGTCCTGACAGCTTTTCATCAGAGAAAACATGCCCATGACTGCAAGCTGCTGGGGAACATGGGAGGGAGGGCACTTTGCACTCATGTCTCATTTGGGGTTCTTCCACAGGCAGCTATTTGGCCACTGTGTCAACCAACGGGACTCTTCTTCTCAAATAGCTCTATTCAGCCAACTTCAGGTGCATGGTGTAGAAATCTGGAAAGTTTGCACTGTTTTTGTGAGTAAGCTGAAAGAAGGTGTTGCCCTGATTTAGATTTTCAAATGAGTTACAGTCAGAACCAGTTTGCCCCTAACCTCTGAGAAAATGGGAAACCCCTGGGTCATACATCCAAGGCATGGTGGAGGCAAAAGCCCCTTTTGGCCTGGTCAGGCAGAAGCCTAAAAGAACTGAAAGAACTGACTTTTTAATTCAGTTTAGGAGCTGGATCAAAAATACAAGATGCTGGACTGACATGGTGGGAGCGCTGCTGCCTGTCTGTCTTGTGCTTCTGTGCTCTGTAATTTATTATCGCTGTCATTATCGTTATCTTGTCTTTCAACCTGAAGGTCAAATTCAGTCTTGGAGACATGCTCTGGGGCTGTAATCTAGCAATGGGAGGCCAAAGATAAACAGGGAGGATCCAAAATTTACCAGGATATTTTAGTTCGAACTATATCTTTGGAGAGCCATAGCATGGAAAAAACTGCACAGAAGCTGGAAAAACCACCAAATGATCAGTGCTTTTGGAAAAGTGGTAGGTTTAGAGGAAGCAGACTTGACAGTCTGGGGAAATTTGGCCTTGGATTCCCCTCCCTGCTGAGACTGTGATTGCTTAAAGCTGATCTTTGTCAAGAGTATGCCTTAGACCCGAGCATTACTGAGGCAGACCTTGTTCCACAGGGCAACGCCTTTACTGGGACCAGCCAGCTATGCATGGCATTCTTGGCCTGCTCCTGAGATCTCCAAATCTCTTTCTCAGGTCAGGTGCAGGCCGGGGTGGAGTGGGGAGAAGCAGATGCTGGAAAAGAAGAAAGGGAAGCAGCAGGAAAGAAAGAGGGGAGGAAAACTGCCTTTTTGGCTCAAGAGACCGGAGGTCACAGATGTGTGTCAACAAGCGTGAGCATATGTGGGAACTCCTAATACAAGTACTAATGAAAAGACAGCGATGAGAAAATAACCTCCGCGCCCATTTCTTACATGCTTTCCCTGCCCGAACAAGTTGAGTTGGTCATGAAGTCACTGGGTGGCTTGGGGCCAGTCTTTGTTGCTCAGCCTAACCTACCTTACAGGGGTGTTGTGAGGATGAAATGGAGAGGAAGGCCAATCGTGGAGGCTGCCCTGAGTGCAATGGAACAAACAACATTAATCCAAATCATCAATTCTAATGATGTTTGACTGCGGCCATGCTAACAAGCGATGGTTGTTAATTCCACGCTTGTTATCAGGCTGTGAATTCTGGGTTGTTTAAAGGATGGGTTCTTGGTCCATGGCAATCCTGAACCATGAATGGTTCATGGTTTGTTTTGTCAGGCTATAGAAATGTTCAGCAGGCCGTGTAGAAGCCAACGAGCTGTTCTGCTTGCTGGTACCTGCTACACGGCAAAGGCGTGTAGGGGAGCTGGAGGGAGCGTGTGAGGAAACAAGTAAAGGAAGAGCCCAGACCACCCAGCAAGTTAGAGAACAAACCTCCATTTGTTTGATTGTCTCCCAGGGCAATAAATATAGCTAGTATTATGTGTGAATCAGGCCACTGTTGTGACTTGTGCTGTTGCTTTTCTTGATCAGAGTGCCTCCCTGTTGTTTTCCTAATGATTTTGAAGTTCGGGATTTTGTTTTATGAATAGTTTCCTGGCAGTGCAGTAAAGAAAATAGATGTGGTTTAGTCCACCGTGAACTTATTCTCCCCCAGTGGGAGGAAATTTAGATAGCCTTCTAGAGGGAGGAGTACTCTGGGAGACTTTGTACAGGGTGTGCTATAAATAAAACAATGTACAAATGGTCAACTGAGAATGGAAAAGGCAGAGCCTCCAGCAGAAGCCGTGTTCAGTGTCATGGTCCAGCTGATGCAAGTCCCCAGTCCACCGTTTTCGGACAATGGCAGGCTCCCTTTGTCTGGCTCTCCTTGCCAGTGTCAAGCCCTAATCTGCAAGCCACACGGTTCCTGTGCCTTCAGCAGTGGCAAAACAAGCGGGCATTCTGCAGATGTTGGGGAAAACGTTATTGGTTGTCTTTTTGGGGGCTGCGCAGCAGTCAAAGCAGGGGTGTTGAACTGACTTCAGCCCAAGGGCCACCTTCCATTTAAATGGGGGGATGCATTGTAGAGGTGGGCGGAGCTGAAAGAAATGGCGGGTGGGCCAAAGGCAAAAAGGGAAGGGAAGAACCCAAGGAACAACACGAGCAAGGAAGTCTTAGGAGAATCATTTCAACCTTCAGGAACTGGGAGATTGCCAGAAAGCCCTAGTGAGAAAGCAAGGAAAGGGGCAGGTGGCTGAATTTGGCCTGTGGCACAGGGGTTCTGGGTTCCTGTGTTAAAGGCACTGGAGCCCTGCGGGAGCTGGGCAGGGGACTGGCAGCCTCAGTAGGCTGGTTTGCAGCAGAGGAAAAGTGCCCTCCGCCACATCGAGAGGGGCATTCAAATTGAGAGAAGGCCCCAGTGGGACACCTTGAATGGTGTACTTCCTGGCAGGGCATAACCTTTGCAATGAAAATTAAGGAAGAAGGCGGTTCCTCCACAGAATGCCTTTGCAATATTAACTGGCACAGTCACTTCCCCAAACTCAATTTGGAGGCAGGACTCCGCCTCAGGATGTAGCGTTTAACGTCAGGAAGAGAGTGCCTCTGTGCCTGTGCAAGGTGCTTTCCCTCCCAGCACAAGCAGCCTTCCAGTCAATTACATCTGGAATCAATCGTGGTCGGGGCAGGGAAAACCTTTTCAGTGGAAGTGAAAGGATAATGAGAGAGGAGGAATAGAGAAATACTTGGGTGGAGACAGAGTCTGCTCTAGAAAGTCTTCGATCTTCAGGAAGTCTGTTTTCAGCTCCTTGTTGAACACCAGGAAGGGGGGCTTGATCCCAGGGGCCAGATCCTTCAACTCCTCGGGCTTCCTAAACGGTTATGGAGAGAGAGAGAGAGAGAGAGAGAGAGAGAGAGAGAGAGAGAGAGAGAGAATGCTGCAAATGCTGTTGATCTCAGTCTCTCAACCTTCCCTCAGCCAAATGGTGACTATTTGCTCCCCAACCATGTAACCAACCATGCCTCCTTTTAAAAGGAGCAGCTGCAAAGTAATTTTATAGAACAAAGATACCTCTGACCATGTGCAGAGATGCTTGGCAGACCAGGGGGACCATTATTATGCTGGGCAGGGGGAAAGTATGTGGATGGAGTCTAGCTCTCCAGTAGTGTGTCCTCCAAGTGTTTTGTACTACAAACCCCATCAGCTCTAGTTAGCACTGCCAGTGGTCAGGAATGCTGGGAGCTGTAGGCCAAAACACTGAGAGGGCCCCAGGCTCTGGAAGACCACTTTAGGTACATCTTTCAAAGTGCTCTCAATGCACTACAGGTCTCACTAAGCTGCTGCCTTCAATCTTTTCTCCTTAATCTTTTCCCTTGAGTTTCAAGAATCAAACCAAAACATATTTTATGTATAGCAAATGTACTTCTGTTCTTAGGGATATTTACTCATAGACTTCAACAGAGTCAGCCCGGACATCTTGTTCTGCAGCAGCAGCAGGGGGTTGGACCCGATGGCCTTCATGGCCCCTTCCGACTCTACTATTCTGTGGTTCTCTAATTCTATGATCTATTTACAGATTACGCCTGTTCAAAATCTGGGAGCATCCTCAAGTCCTTCCAAACCATTCTGTTATGGAGGTAGCTGTTTGCCCTTCCCGTGAAGTAATGCTAATCTTTCAGTTTTCAGAAGGGCACACGGGGTCCATTTATGTTGCCCTTGTATTAAGGTCCGTTGGTTCTGAAAACTGAAAGGGCGTGTAGGGAACCTCCATCCACTTACCTCGTCATATCCACTGTGGTCACGTTGAATCGGACCCCTTTCAGCCACAGCACCATGAAGAGGCTTTGACAGAAGGGGCAGTTCCCAATATTTTCTCCATCCGAGGCAGCCTGTAGTGGGAGCGAAACAGGACGGTGGTCACCAGTTGGAACAGCTTCAGCTCCAACAGACAAACATGCTGGCAGTCGTAACGGTGCCTTGGTCTAGTCCCACCAAAAAATGCACACTGCACATGCCTAGCAGAGCACTTCTGTCACAGAGAAACCCCAGCTAAGGGCAGTGGCTCTTTTGTGGCAAATTGCCGAAATTTAGGGCTGCAAGGGAGCTTGGAGGTCATCTAACCCAACTCCCCATTCAACGCACAATCTCCAGCACAAGAACCTGGAGCTCCAGCATCCCCAAGAGATGGCCATTCAGCGGCTGTTTTAAAGACCTCTAGCAAAGGAGAGACCTAACCTCCAGAGGCAGCTGTTCCAGTGCCAAACAGCTGATGGTGTTTGGAAGGTTCTCCTCAAGCTGAGCCAAAATCTGGTTCTCCGCAATTTCCACCCCTGTGGTTCTAGTTCTGCCCTCTGATACAAGAGAAAGGCCTCTGGCGGTAAAAACAATATATCCCTTTTGAATGCGTGAAGCGCTTTGCACCCACTTTCTTGTTGCGCTGCTTGCAACAACCCTGTGGGGCAGGCTGGCCAGGATTATTATTCCTTTATTGGGTGGGTGGGGGATAAGGCTGAGTAAGGAGTGAGAAGAGGTGAGAGTCATGCTCGGGATTTCATGCTCTTACGCAATGGGGGCTGAGGCTTCTCAGAGCGAACCCTGGAAGGGGGGGGGGGTGCGTCTTTGCTAAAACTAATGTTACTTAGCTTTGTTTTGAAGCAAAATAGCCCATTGTTTCTGCTTCCTTAGGCGGGAGCCCGATCAGGGGTGAAAGCAATATCGAAAGCCCTCGGTGTGCTTTGCCAGCCCATTGTGGCAGCCGTTTATCTTTTTGGAGGGCCGTTGTGGGGCACCCTGGAAGCGAGATAAAAGCATCGCGGAGACGCCCATCGCTCCCGGTTGGGAAGCCTGGAAGGAGGAAGGCGAGGCGTGTTCGGTGCTGTGGGCTGCAGGAAGGGAGGCTCTGCGATGTGGAGGGGAACCTCCGGAGGATGGAGCATATGTGGGAAGCACACTCAAGCTTTCCATAACGGTCCGGCGAAGGCTTTCCCTCTCCCTCTTCCTCCTGCTTGACTAAGACGAAAGACGAGGGCTCCTGGACTCTCATCTTTTCCAAAGATCAGATCAGTCCTTACACAAACACACTCTTTCAGCCTTGATGTTTGGCGTGGGAAGAACCCTCCATGCTCACATGTGCCCTGCACACGCCACTCCTCGCACAGCCCTGACCAGGTTCTCAGAAAGTTCTTTAAGCGGGGAAAGAAGACAAGGAAAGGGCAGCTTCCCGGCAGGGAAGGTGGACTGCAGCCTGGCAGGGACAGAGCAGGGGCATCTGCCCCCTTCCCCACCGGAATCCCCTCTGAGCTGCGCCATGAACCCCCCACCCCCAGCCATGTGTGCGTCCCTGCTGTGATGCCGAGTCCTTTGCGGTGGCTTGGCTGCCGTGGGCAATGCAGACCCCAGAACTCCCCCAAAGCCTTGCTCCCGGTGGAAAGGAAAACGGCCAGGAGAACGGGCTTGTGGCTCAGGATCAGCCCGTCTGCCTGAAGGTTCGGCTCCGCCATGGGGAGGCGGGCATGAGGAGCATCTGCTCTTCAGTCCGTGGCTGCTGGTAACTTCTCTGCTGAGTCACTATGCCAGGCATAGGCAGACTTCTGTTGATGTATAGAGTAATGATTCTTTTTTCTTTTCCACAGACTCTCGTAGAGCGTGGGAAGATATGAAGAGAGTCGGTTCTGGGAGCTGCAATATATGCGCTGTGTTGTTTGCAATTCCCTCGGCAACTTTGTTGATTTTGCTCACTTTACTTTGTTTTGTTTATGATAGTTTTTCCTTTGTTCTGTACTTTTTTTCTATGTGATTGAATATGTTGGAAAAATAAAAGTTATTTTTTTTAAAGAGGGACATGAGGTTATTAGTTGGTTTATGTATGTGTTGTTGGTATTATAATGTATAATAATTATTATTATATAATGCATAATTAATAATATTAATTAATTCTTACTTATTATTATTAATAAGAAGAAGGAGAAGAAGAAGTAGTTGTGGCTGGGAAGCAGGGGAGCCAGATTTTACAAATACAGATTTTGTACATGCATTTATTTAAAATAATGTCAGGCCTCCTTTAAGGGCAGGACCTTGTCAAGGTAGCCTTGAAAGACTGAACACAGACATGCAAATATACACACCTGCACAACTACACAGTAGCTATACAATCAAATACTGTAAAAGCTAGATAGTAGCCATAAAACCTGCAGCCCACAGATTATGGGAAGGCCAGTGAAACAAGATGGTCCCAGATTGAAACCAATTCCAGAAGTATGGGGACATCACAGAAAAGGCCCTGCTTCTGTACTCGCCAGCATACCTGCCCTTAACGGTGGGCAGGAGGGAAGAGCAACTTGGTGGTGAGGCTCATGGTCCGCTGGAACCCATCACTAGTAGAATGCGCATTTCTGCACTAATCCACATCTGAATTAGTATAAATTAGGAATTACAAGGTCAAATGCAGACGTTACTTAAACCTGTGTGTAACAGCTAGGCCACCTTAAAAAACAGACGAACAAACAAACAAACAAACTCTTGAGCAGGTCCAGCGAGTTTAGTTCTGATCAGTGCCCTAGCATGGGAACTGACAGAACTATTAACATACAGATCTGAATTTACTTTAAAGCAAAGCATGTTTTTAAAATGTAGCTGCTCTATAGACACACATTTAAGGTCATATCTGTTTGACCGTAACAGTCAAATTGAGAAAACTGATTATATTTTTACTTTTGCATATAGGGATGGGTCAATCTGTCAGTTTCATTTTCTTCTGCATTCAGATTTTTAAACATGTTGTTTTTCTCTCAGATATGAAGAACTGTGCACAGGTTGGTAAATTCATAGCAAAAATAAGATTGCATCTGCAGCGCCCATCTCCCCCATCTGTTCCAGGCAAAATCAATAGCTACAACCACTCCCAGAATGGAGAAGACCATCCTCCACCTGCCTGCCATATAGTGGTTCAAAATGAGGAGCTTGTCAAACGAAGAGGGACTGGCCCCCAATTTGGCACTAACAGGGATATGCACACAGACATTCAAACTTTTAAAAACTCAAAGTTTGGGCTTTAGTGCACAGGTCTGTCTAGTTTGGTTCCCCCCACATTCATTTCTTCTTCTCTTAATCTCAGAGCCTTCGTGAAAGAAAGACAGAGAATTTTGGCAAGTCCTTATCAAATCAGAACTGGAATGAAACTCGGCAAGAGCTGCCAAACACTTGAGAATCCTTGCCAGTCTCCTGCTGGCTCCCAGCCAGCCACCACTGGACAGCGCTGCTGGGCAATGCCGGCAGCTTCAGGGCTTTTTCTGCCCGGGCATGCATCAGTGTTCTTCTAATGTTCCTCCTTCCATGGTAACTGCAGTGGTTTTTAATGGGATATGGTGGCCCAGAAGAGCATATTCACCCGAAAAAGTGAGATTCAGTGGGAAGGCCTTGGTTATGCCCAGGGTGTTTGGGTGCCTAAGGCAGAAAATCTGTAAGACCTCTTTTCCTGATTAACAGGACATTTGCTGCCCTTTTGCTGATTCTCTCCTGCAAAACCTGCCTTGAGTTGGGCTTTGTCACCCTACCAAAAATGTTAGGGCCAGCTGACTGTTCAAAACCTGGTTTTACTGAATATGTCACTTTTCTTCCACCAGGGAATTCAAGGGGGAGAAGGTAGTTTTTTTCTCCAGGCTCTGATCATGCCAGGGCCTGCTTCAGTTCAGCAAAGTTTGTCGTATTATGGCTCCGTTTTGGACTGTAAGCCACAGGATCTTGGCATCTGACAGCAACACAGCTGTCAAGCTGAGCATTTGGTGGATCATGAGCTTTACTCCCTCAAGTTGTGAACTCAGGTGGGAAGCACCAACATAATGCAGCCCCCAGAGGAACAAGTGGGAAGGTTCTCCATATGCTTGGGATAATTCTGAATTTTTCAGCAATTACAGAGGTAAAACCAAACAAGCAAAAACGAAGGGGGGCACTGCCAATCTTTTCTGGGTCCTGCTCATCTCCTTGTGCCTTGTAAGAACAGTCATGTCTACTTCCATGGCCGGTATCTGCTGTGGCAATGACACCGTGGAGTCAGATGCACACATCCGTAAACAACGTCCCAACAGGCGTTCTCCAACCCCTCCGTCTAACTGCAGATCACCCGCTAGCTTCTGGATCACTGAAATCCGCACAGTGCGGCACACCAGAGCCCTGTGTCTATGCTCAGGCAACACACCCCCCCACAAGCACCGTGGGTGTAGGGTTGCTCCAAGCGAGGTCAAATTCTTGGGCAAGGTCAGTCGGCAGCGACACCCAGGCGTCGAACCTGAACGATGGTTCAGTACAGCCCGTGTGTACAGAAGAAACAATGCAGCGCCATAGGTGGCTATAGGGGCTGGACTCCATGATCGAAGGAACACCCCCACAGTTTGCTTTACTAGCTCTGGGGCAAGCTAAGCTAGTGGTCTTTGGGGGCCCTTCAGCAGGTTCTAGGTTTTCACCCCAAACTCCTACCCTGATGGCACTGTGACTATAGCATGCCCCTCACCTTTACGAACAGCTCAATCTCTGGTTCCTTCAGGGGGTTACGGAGTCGACTCGCCATCCTCTCTCTTCCTGGGCCTGCCAGTCCCCGCTGTGGATGGATGCCGTCTTTGCCCGACTGGCAAGGGAGGTGGTGGGATCCCGACAAGAAGGGAGGGTTGCTCAGGCAGCAGCTTCTCTCCGGTAAAGATCCAAACCTGAATGTCACCCCCAGCTGGGAGCTGACCTGTCCCTTTCCTCTTCCTATCGCCGGAATCCTAAGCTAGGAAGGGCCGCGAGGTGCTCAGAGCGACCTGCGGCACGCAAGCCGTGGCTGTGCGGGTGGGGAATTTCCACGGAGCCTCCCAGCCACCGTGAGTCAGCAACGTGGGCTATCAGAGCAGCACATGGCACTCTTCTCCAGGGTATCACGGAGGCCAGATGTTGCTCTGACTCTGAGAAACATCCCAGAATAGGTCCTTCCGTTTGCGTAGCCGAACCCCACAGCCGCCAGACTTTCTATCACAGGAAACTAGCTGGAAAGTGTCCCTTAGCGCAGTGGTCTGAAACGCTGCTCATTTAATATATTTCTGTTAGAAGTATCCGCAGGCTGGTAGATTCCCCCACTGGGCACATCCTACGTACGAAGCGCACACTCAGGCTTTGGACGCTGCATTCAGGTTTGCCCAGGCTTAGTGGAGACCCCCTGAGATCAATGGGGCAAGTGAGTCACAGCTAACTTAAGTCCCATTGATTCAGTGGGTCTACTCTAAGCTGTGAAAATGGCTAATGTCGAATGAAATGGGCAAAGCTTTGCCATAATATGGCTGCTGAAAGCCCAACAGTATAAGAACAGCTTTAGACTTAGGATGGGTTTCCTGATCTGATTAGGAATCCATGTTACAAGTCTTGCTTCCCAGTCATGCCTCAGAGGTGCTAATAGGCCTTTCCTTAGAGATGCTCAGAAACACTCTTGAGTAAGGCTCACAAGGGCACAAAAAATGCCTTGGGTAGAAAAGCCCCAAGTCAGCTGGGTGGTGTAGAAGTGCACTAAATATAAGAAATGTGCCCGCCTGCCCCTTGAGATCTGAGGCAGAGGTCCTTCTCCGGGAGCCCTCTGTGAGGGAAATCAGGAGGGCAGCTACCCGGAGACGGGCCTTTTTGTTGGCGGCAGCCCGACTGGAACACGCTCCCCAGGGAGGTTCGTCTGGCACCATCGCTTTATTCTTTTCGGTCTCAGGCAAAGACCTTTTTATTTTCCCAATATTTTGACAGTTAATTGGTTTTCTCTCATTATTTAACAAATGCAGTGTGTTGAGTGTTGTGTGTTGTATATGGTTGCTCTTTCTTTCTTTCTTTCTTTCTTTCTTTCTTTCTTTCTTTCTTTCTTTCTGTTGTTTGTAAACCATCCAGAGACTTTAGTATTGGATGGCATATAAAAACTTTAAATAAATAAAGTGAAATAACAGAACCACTGTAGTGTTTGCTTCTTCGAAGGCCTCTGAGTTGCAAAGTCCTGGACTTTAGCTTGATGGTCCTGGCTTGGCTGCACCTCCGCGGTCTGGAGGGCACAACTTACCCATCCTTGACACAGAGTGAGGGGACCTTTCTCTTACAGGTGTTGCTCAACAATGATACGCTAGTACCCCCCCCCAGAACCACCCCACCCCCAGGAGAAATGGAGGTAGGTGGGCAAGCTCTCATGGTGAGTCTCTCTGTCGGGGCTTCCCTGTGAGTGATGCATGCTTGCTCAGCAGGAAGCCACCAGGCAGGGGAGGTACAAACCTTGCCACTGTGCCCCGTGTGGGAAACCCCACCTGGGAAGGAGGGGCGCATGGGACCGCATGGCCGAAAGGCTGGATGTGACCAGCATCCCACAGAACGGGGTGCTTTTGCTGAGCGTGAAGGTCATGGCAATGTGTTGGATCCATATAGGTCAGGAAAAAGGTCCTGGTGTTGTTTGCGTATTTCAAGGATTTGTAGCTGACTCTTTGGCCAAAAGGCCCCCTGAGAATAGCTCATAATTATCAGCAGGCCCTAAGTGGAGGCACTCAATCGAGAAGACCCTGAAGCACAAGGAAATGTCAAAGGGCCAGGATGAGGAATTCTGCAGCCTTTTCACCACTGAAAAGACACCACAGCCTTTCAGCACCTTCTCCTCCTCCCAGGCTTCCTAACCCTTCGGCTTTAAGCAGGGCGTTCTGTTTTTAGTTCTTTGTACTGCTCTGGTTTTCCTTTTGGTCACCATGGGGTTTCCTTCCCTTTTAAACGTACAGAAATACTATAATTTTTATTATTCATTTCACTTCTGTACCATGCAATAGCTGAAACTATTTGGGAGGGGGAGATTTGCAACAGTGCACAAAACAGGATGTAAGAACACACCGTAGAAATTCCCCGAACACAAAAATCTAGTAACAGCTTTAAAAACAGATAATGCAGAGGAGACCTAGAATCACAGAATCACAGAATAGAAGAGCCCATGAAGGGGTCATGAAGGCCATTGAGGCCAATCCCCTGCTGTTGCAGGAGGTTGAAAACACCTGGAAACACCTGGAATGGGTGCTCTCCTCAAGCCGTTCAATATCCTTGGAAGTTTTTTAACTGGATTGGCACAGAGGGCTGTCCTGACCAGGCATTGCAAAGAGGACAAGGTTGGTCCCCGGCCAGCTTCACTGGGGAGCTCCTTCCACCGTGGGCCCTGCTGAGAAGGTGCTCTTGCTGCTACCTTCACACTGAGCCTCCTTTGGAATTGATCCAATATTGATTGCTGTGAACAGGTGAATTGCAGGTGGGGAGAAACGCTCCATGAAGTGTTGTTGCCCCAAGCCAGGATAGGGTAGTATATTATGCTGTTGTATTTTTTGGTTTTCGCCTTCATCTTCTACAGTGCTCAGAGATCTTTGGCTAATGGGCAGCATAGGACTGTCACGCTGACCCCAAAATGCTCACATGCTTTGCACGCAGGAGGATGCCGTTTCAGTCCCCAGCTTGCCCAGGTAACTCCAAGAAGGGCTCCTTCTGCAGCTGGACTGAATGCACACAGCCACACAGATTGTTTCATCTGGCCCAGCCCACGACATCCGTCTTGAGGTCAGCAAGGGCAAGAAGACAAGACCCGAGTGTCTCAGCGGACAGCCGAGGCAGCTCTTTAAACAGAATTGTGAAAGAAGGCCATTATGGCAGAACACAGCATCCAGACAAAGGGCACCTTTTTCTCCTCGTGGCTCGCTCAAAAGAAACCCAACGTGATCTCCTCCCCTGCATTTGCTTGTGTTGGACAGCCAAGGAAGAAAAGAGCAAACCTTCCACGAAATGGGAAAGCTTTTCTTGATATATCTTGCAGTTTATTTGTTTGCCTGTGCATTATTCAAATGAGACTCACAATATTGAGTGCAGAAAATTGGGCAATGGGGCAGGCAACCAGATATTGCAGTGAGGCACAGGCTGATTCAGGGTCCTCATCAGCCCTTGCTCCCTCCTTGATATTCCATTACATTCTCTGCTCCCCCTGGCTTTCCTTTTCTGTTCTCCTCCTCCACATGTGAGACTCTCCGCTTTCTGTGGCCACTGAGGAACCTTTCCTGAAATTCTTCGCTTCTGTATTCCCCTATTGCTTTATTCTAATATGCCTCTAGCATACCTTATGCCTGATCCCTCGCCCCTCCTCCAAACTCTGTATGTAACTGGTAGGTTACAAAAGCAGCTTGTACTGTATGCTTAAATAAACTGCAAATGTTCCTTTGACTGTACACCCCCAGTGGACTCCTGGTTTCTTCACTCCTGGCAATATCTAAGAATATATCTCCACAGGCAGGTAAGCCATTAGCATCTCTAAGGAATATGTGGGAAGCAAGACTTGCAACATGGATTTCTGATCAGACCGGGCATCCCATCTTAAATCTAAAGCTGTTCTTTAGCAGCTATATTGTGGCAAAGCTTTTGCTCATTTTGTGCTGCTACCAGCAAACCAAAACTTTCGTACCAGTCTGCTCCTTTAACGAATTGTGTCTTGCAAATAAAAGATGTGTCTGAGGATGAGGATATTTAAGACTATAATTCCATGATGTAATAAAAATAAAATTATTAAGTAATCGGAATGAACAGCTGCTCCGGCTACAAAACCAATATGCAGATCCTCCAGGAAACAGGAATTGAGTGAGGGCCAATTCAGGAAATTTATTGCTGCTTACCTGAGCAGGAAAATGCAAGTTGGGAAGCAGATGCCAACAGAAAAGGGAAAGAGGGGGACAAGTCCTTAAAGAGGCCCTTGCAGGGGGAAATAGGATCTTTGCTGAATAACGCTCACTTCAAGGCAAATGTAAAATAGTATCCTGACGTCACTGGATTTTCATGAGAAGTATAATGCCATTGTAAGAATGGTGTGGAGCAGCTCTTGCCATTCCGTTCCCAGAGGCTGATAGAAGCACAATGTCCCAGAAGGAAGTAGGTGCATTCTAGGAGGGCTGCCCTCATTTCTGGAGTCAGGGCTGGCCGAGACAGGAGACTGTCACTTTGGGTGGGAGATGCCAGACGGGGCATCAGCGTGCCCAGCCCTCCTCTCTCTGTGTCCCCAAAGGAAGGAAAACCAGAGCGCGTAAGCAGGTTCACGGGGGTCCACTCACGTCGGAATTTGGGCACGAGGTCTGAAGCCAGGAGCATTTGGAAGGACTGGACTTCTTGTGGTTAACTACACATACACACACGCGCCACTTGCGTGTGGAGTCACTGCCTGCCGTGCAAAGAACTGACTCATTGTCTATGGACAATAGGAGCATTGGCGTTCCAGCAGCCCGCAGAAATGAGAGATGGCAGTAAGGCTGGAGCCAGAGTAGCCCCGGGACCCGGGCGGCAGCAGGAGCACCAGGGCTGAGTGTGCAATGCGATGCCAGGATCCAGGCTGATGAGCTGGCTTCGGATGGTTGGAACAGCGCTGGGCTTCTTGTGTTTTTCAGCTTTGCTGAAGGCGGCGCCTGAGTTTTCAGGTGAGTTCAGCAGGAGGATGTGGGCGGCATTTTCCTCTTCTAGCTGCTGTCTCCTCCAAGGAGGTGGTTGCAGATGGAAGACAACTTTCACTAATTATACAGCAGATCTTAGCTCTCTTTCTTCCATACAGAGAAATGCGAGACTTTTTTTTTAAATGTCATTTTAAGGGGACAATGGCATATTTTGTGGTGTGTCTCTTCTGACCCATGAAACTAGACTTAAAACAGGAAATGGGAGCATAGGACCCTCCAGATGATGTTGGACTGCAGTTTCCATCAGTCCTAACCAGCATAGCTAATGGCAAAGAATGATGTGAGTTGTAGTCCAGGAACAACATTCCCCATCCTTAAAAAGCCTAGGTGAATCTGTACTGGTCCTGACTGGGAGAATGAGTCCAAAGCAGAAGTGACATGAATTTTGGAAGAAAATTCTTGAGCCCATGTTTCCAATGTCGAAATTGCTTGCAAAACATTTCAAATGCATCTGTCCTCCTAAGCTGATTTTGGTTTTCTCCCCAACTTTTGGTACACCCCATTATGAAAATTTGTGTTGGAACAATGACAGCCTTCCCCAACCTGGTGCCCTCTTGGATTTAATTCCCAACACTCCTGAGCATTGGCCATGCTGATCAGGGCTGGTGGGAATTGAAGTCCCAAACATCTGGAGACCTCAGAGTGGGACGGATGATCAAGGGGTTTTGAGTAAGAGTGTAGCATTCAGACCGCTCCTGCAAGTACCTGCAGGGATGTGCCAAAGGAAAAACACTCAGTGTAATATTCTAAAGTGCCCTCCATGGAATAAAAGCAAAAGCAATGAAGAAATACTAATTGCAAAGCTGTGTCTGTCAACTGCTCAATAAAAAATCAACTTGCATGCTTCTCACAAAGGATTGCTGTTATCCAACTCCCCTTGCTCCCAGTTATAGGAGATATCGGATTTAATGACTTTAAGGCAAGAAGTCACAACCATCCAGCGCAAGGTAACTGCCAGCAAAGCTGTGGACCCACTGTAGGTAGAACTGCTCCAGAACAGGTGGGGCCATCCTGGAATCGAGCAGAGCTCTGCTGTAGCTCAGGGGCCTTCTTCTCAGACCGGCCAGTTCTGCTGCATCACAAAAGCCTCGAGAGGCATCCTGGACCCACTACATCTCTTGATGGCAGCATGAGAATGCTGGAAATCAAAGATGGATCCCAGAAGCAGGAGGAGATCTTATGTATTATTTATTTATTTAAAACTCTTGCATGCCATCGCCACATGCCTTGGCGTCTTGGGATGGCTCACAATATATGCAATTAAAAACAATAAAATAATCTTTATAAATAACAAATTCAAAAAAAGATTACATAAATGGAAAAGCGAAAACAAAAAGAGTGACTGTTCAATGATAAAATATTAGTTTTTAAAATAGCGATTAAATAAAAGGTCTTAACATGGCGCCGATAAGAATATAAACTCTTTGAGATGAAGGCTGGTGGATGTCTAAATCCGCTTGTTCCGCAGGCGAACGGAGTAGCTTCGCTAGGCACTAATTCAGACAGGTGCAAAAGATAAGATGAGCAAATGCCCCCTTAACACTGTTGTCCTCTGAGACCCCTAAAGCCCTTTTGCTTCCCCACCCCAGGTTACCTACAGAAAATTTTGAAGAATCACACTGCCCATGCCTGCGATGGGGAGCAATTGACAATAATTTGCCCACACAAGACTTCCATTAGCATCCTTTCAGCCTTCTATGGACGCCGGGTGCCCAGCCAAAACCTCTGTCCAACTTCAGGGAACCTCTCTTTGGAGAACACAGACTGCATGTCTGCCACGGCTCATCAGGTAAGAGGTCCTCACGCTGAAGGCGTGGGAGGAGAAGGCGGGAAAGGAGCCCCTCAGCACCAATGGCAGGCTCCCTTCAGTTTGCCTTGGTATAATTTCAAATAAACCTGCCCCCAAAGCTTGAATCCCCATTTCCCCAAATAGCTTTATATTAGCAGCTCCCAAGTAATCACAGCAGTTAATAAGACTGGGATCCCTAACGTCGTGTTCACAAACCCTGCTTGGTGCCTGCCAGGCTCCCTGCCCAACCGGATGTGTATGTTAGGATTTTTGAAAAAGTTTACTGGGAGCCTGGTCTGCTGCAAAGGCCTCTTTACTTGAGCTCAGGACCCGTTTTTAGAGTTCATCCTGATATTTCCCTTCTACTTTGGCTCTTGGGCATGGGGTGTTCTGTTTGCCTTCTAGGAAGTGTGTGTTTGCTGACTGGCCATGCTGTTGGGGGCAGCTTTTTTACATCCACTCTCATTGGCTATGCCCATGAGTGCCCACGGCACTCTCACAAAATTCCAGATGTGCCCACCAACCCAAACACACCAGGATCCTTTTTTAATAAAAGGTCCTTGATCTACAGCTCTGAAATTGACATGCATGAAAAATACTTTCCCAGGGTGGAATTGGCAGAAAGAAAATTTTTGTGCTATCTGGCATCACAACCCTAAATCTGGGTTGATGTAATTCGCTGGCAGCACAGAGTAAGGCTGGGATTCTCTCATGCCTCCTGTTTCGCTCTGATGCCCCCCTCCATGGGGTGTTTGTGGTGAACATACTAAGCCTTTTTAGCACAGCTGGGTTTGGACAACATGAAAACTCACGAAAGCACAAACTTACTGTGTTGTCTGAACCCAGCCACCGCCTGCTTGCCCACCAGCACGCTCTGCCTGTCCAGAAAGCAAATAGTAGCGATGGTGAGACAGAGCAGAAAGAGTAAGAGCTGGTGCTGGTGCTGAGCAGGTAGAATGACCCACAGAGGGAGCCTGCATCCAGCGGCTGGGTGGCTTCTGAGGCTTGCCACACCACCTAGTGGACATCTGCAGTGATCGTCCAGGTTAACAGAAGTCTTTTATCAGGAGCAAGATTTCCCACCAGGCTGATGAGAGTCTTGAAGCTCAGGGACCCTCTTCAGCCCCTTTCCTCCGATGTCTGTCTCCCAGACTAAGGGACAAACCAGACATGACCATGATTTGCTTTTGCACTGATTTCGCATTCAATATGCGTGTGAAAATAAAATGCAAAATGCAGCCACAGGGCTTGGTGGCTCAGGGTTTGTGGCCCTGTAAGAAATGTGCTCCTCTCCATCTATTTGTGTCAGAAGGAAATCCCCCTTGGATCTGACCCGGCCTAATCTTGGAAGCTAAGCAGGATCTGGCCTGCTTGGATCTGGATGGGAGACTTGAGTCCTGTATTGAGCAAGGAGTTGGACCCGAAGGCCTTTTAGGTCACTTCCAACTGTGAACTAGAATGCCTTTTTGAGTGAGCTCAAACAATGCCTTGTGGTAAGGCATTCTTTGCTAAGGTGCTGGAACAGGATTGAGTACAGAAGAATTACAAAACTTTAATGTCAACTATGGAGAAATTGAAATTGTGAAAGATTTGGCATATGCTGGCTCAACCATCAACTCAAAGCAAGAGCGCAGCCAAGAAATTAGAAGACTGAGACTTGGTAGGGCAGCAATTGAAGAACAAAGAAAGTTCTTCCAGTGCAAGGACATTTCACTGGAGACCAAAACCAAAACCATCCACCCCATTGTATTTCCCATCACTATGTATGGGTGAGAAAGCGAAGAAAGTTGACAGGAAGAAAACTGATGAATATTGTCCTGGAGAACTTTGCAAATAACCTCAACTGACAGAAAGATGAACAAGTGATTCCTACATCAAATCAAGCCAGAATTTGCCCTGGAGGCAAAAATAATGAAACGGAAGCTATTGCACTTCAGGAATATTATGATTCAGCAAGACTTTCAGGAGAAAACAATAACAGAAGGAGAGTCAAAGGCTAAAGGAGAAGCGGAAGACCAAGTATGGGATTGATTAATTCCACAAAGGAATTGAGTTTGTAAGAGAAGAGTAGGGCTGTCTCGGACAGGGTATTTTGGAGGGCTTTCAGTCATAGAGTCACTGTAAAGCAGAAATGACTTGATGATATGTAAAAACAATAGCAAAATAAATTATAGCAATAATAAATAGATAGATAGATAGATAGATAGATAGATAGATAGATAGGCGTAGGTTAAAGGAGGGTGAAGCACATGCTCATCCTGGGAGTTTATTTGCATTACTTAGCCCTTTCTCATAAAACTCTACTGCTAGGTGTCCTCAACTTTTCTTTGTTAAAGGAGAGAAAGAGACAGAGGGAGAACCCTGATTACTCCTATTGTTAAACAGCTGGAAATCAGAGACTTACCTGTGCTTTTGCAGGTCAGCTGGACACTTGCCATATCATTTGCCCATTGCTGCTCTAAGGACTTTGGTAGATACTCCCATTTTTTGGAGGGCTTCATTTTTTAAAGTAAAAGTATTATAATACTCTAGTTGTGCTTTTATCTAGGCACAGTTTTTGGTATTTCTAATAAGAGGCTTAATATTGGCTGTAATGTAATAGTAACCATCATCATCTATTTGAAGCTTCTGTATGGTCTGAAGCATCTGGTCCTGCCTGATCTTGGAAGCTAAGCAGGGTCAGGCCTGGTTGAAATCTGGATGGATGACTTAAAATGCTGTGAACCTCCCAGAGAGCTTGGAGTGTGGGCGGTATAGAAATGTAATAAATAATAATAATTACTTAACATATGCCCTGTTCCTACAGAAAATGATGGATGAGTGTCAGGACCAGCGATGGTGTCACTTCTCTGTCCACAGCCGGGTGTTTGGGCCTGATCCATGTCCAGGCACACATAAGTATTTGGTGGCTTCATACAAATGTCGACCAGGTGAGCGAGCTCAGCAGATGTTCCTTTAACCGGCTCATGTTGCGACTCTTAGGTCAGTCTGGAGGGCAGCAGCTCAGTGGCTGAGCCCTTGCTTGGCGTGGCTGTAAGTCCCAGTTCATTCCCCGACATCTCCAGGCAGGGCCAGGAGACAAGCTCTCCTGCCTGAAAACCAAGAATGCTGCCACTGCTGCCAGTCAGTGTTGGCAACACTGGGCTACATGGATCCTGGACTGGACTGGTGTCACTCAGCTTCCTATGTTCCTCAACTTGGTGCCTTCAGACGTTTTGGACTTCAGCCCCCATCAGCCCCAGTTAACATAGCCAGTGGTCAGGAAGGGTGAGAATTGTAGTCTAAACCACCTGGGATATCTGTTCGAGAGAGGTTGTGTTACATCCTGGGTTGGGGGCTCAGTCCCAGCTCCTGTTCTCTTCCTAATTCTTATTACAGCCTTGACTGAGGACTCACAGGACAAAGTGCCAGGATTTTATTTTCATTTTTATTTGCCTTAGGCTTTCCCCATCAACTTAGCTGCAAAAGTAGCAACAGCTGGGCTGGAGTGACTGCATTTTCAAATAATACCATATTGGTGTGAGCAGTCCCTGTTGCAATGCAACTCTCTGTGCCTTGTCCTTGCGGGGATGAGGCTGCGGGACTGCATTGCAGAATTCGTTGCTGGACCACTGGTGTCCAGGAGAAGAGGATGCAGAGCCACTAGCTTAGAGGAATGCATTTGCTGGTTGTGTTCCCTCTTCCAGCCAACCATCGCCTCAAGACTGTGTGTGAAAATGACAAACTGAGGCTGCAGTGCCGAAACAAGTCTGTCCTGGCCATTTACTCGGCGATTTATGGGAGACCTTTGCGGGGGAAGCCAGAATGCAATTCTGTGAATGGGACAGGACCAGACATAGGTAGGTGGGAGATGGTGAAGAGGGATGGCCCATCCTCAGCAACATCCCTCCCGTCCCACTGCATGGGGAGGGGCCACAGCTCAGTGGTGCCAGAAGGCAGGCCTGGAAGAACTTCTGCTAGAAACCTCAAGGGGTCCCAGTATTGTCAGGAGTGCTCCCAATCACTGCTGACAGTTCGGGGCTAGGTGTGATACGGTTTGAGGCAGCTCCTGCTCTTCCTATTCTGTTTCTCCCTTACCTGCTTGTCCGTTGCACTGACTGGATACCTGGAGGGCAAACATGGCATCGGGCAGGTGCATTAGACCCACTACCGAAGCTGAAGGAGCTGAAGGAGCTGGTGGGCAGGGCCAAGGGTTCAGATAGTTGGGTGTCTGCCAAGGCCCACATCCTCGCAGGAGTCAGCATCCAGGGTGTGGGCAGCTGACTTGCAGATAGGGGCACCAAGACCTGGGCAACCGGGTGGAATCAGGCACAAGGGTCAGTCCAAGAGCACAATCACACAGTCCAAAGGTCAGAGTTGGCGGATTGAAACACTAGACAAAGCCCATTCAGGAAGAAAGCGTGGTCGGACAATCCAGGCCTCTGGAAACCGAGAAGACAAGCCAAAGGGAGCAGGTGCCTTGAGGGCTGGAGCAAGGCAGGAGCAAGATCACAGACAGGGCAGGAGAAGAGGCAGAGTCCCAGGAGCAAAGTCCAAGCGTCCACAAACCAGGAAATCTTCAGCAACTCAGGAAGCCTTTGTTGCCAAGGCAGCTTCTGGGGGAAAGCGCCAGTTCTTATATAGCTCTTCCCCAGGGCTCCCAGGTGGAGCTCATGAGAGCCCCAGCTGCAGTCCCTTCCCATGGTGGCGCCTCCGCCACTTTGCTGGGGCCTGACCGCATGGCTTGCCTTGCAGAGTGCGTGGCCCCCGACGCCCTGCGGAGGGTCTACCGGAGGTGTCACAGGAAGCAGAGCTGCACCGTGGCCGCAAATCAGGCCACCTTCGGGGACCCCTGCATCCCCGGGGTGAAGAAGCAGCTGAGAGTCTCCTATACTTGTGGTGAGTGACCTCGTGGCGGAGCGTGGCCGGTTTTACTCTAAATGAAGGCAAGAAGCACGGGACAAAAGAGAGCAGGCAAACCGCCTGGGCAACGGTTAGCCAGGGCACGTTCGCAGCGTCAAAATGAAGGAATCACCTCACGTGATTCATAGCAGCCTCGTAATCCTAGGAAGGCGCTTGTCCAAAGAAAAGCAGCAATTTCCACCTTCCTCCTAAGCAAACTTCCATTTATTTTTCCCTTTTCAGTGCCAAGGCAGTTGCTGGAAGAGGTGAGCCAGGACTCCCAAGAAGATCCCTTCTCAGTCTCTGACTATACACATGGTAAATGCTCTGTCTTTCTCTTCTTTGGAGGTAGGTGTATCGACTCAAGGTAGATGCATCCATACCTGGGTGTAGATTTATTTAGTAGAATCCCCCCACATATACGCATCCCTTTCCTCATATAAGGTGGGTGGCCATGCAGGAATCCTTTCTTCTAGTCACAGAGTTGAGTGGGAAGTGCTGAGAGGAAATGAGGAGGAAACTCTCTGGAAAAGGGTGACTGTTAGGTACGGAAGGGCTAGAGGACACACTCCACCAGTGGAAGCAGTGGAACTCCTGAACCACTTGGAGTTACTTGAGGATGAGACCAGAGGGCAGCCTGCTGTGGAAGAAGTGCAAGGCATCCCGTGCAACACTGAGCAAGAGGCTAAAGGTCAACCAGGTGGTGGCAATGGTAGGAAGGCTTGCAAGAACAAGAAGAGAAGAGCGTTAGTTGCGGGAGACTCTCTGTTGCATGGGATGGAAACATGTGTACGGCAGAATGACCTGTGGCCTTATGGGAGTATTGCATCCCGTTCTGGGTACCACAGTTTGAGAAAGATGGAGACCAGCTGGAAAGGGTTCAGAGGAGGGCAACAGGGATGATCCAGGGCCTGCAAACAAAGCCCTGTGAGGAGAGATGGGAAGAAATGGACATGTTTAGCCTCAAGAAGAGAAGACTGAGGGGAGATATGATCATATTCTGCAAGTACTTGCAAGGCTGTCACAAAGAGGAAGGATCGGATTTCTTCTCAATCATCCCAAGGTGCAGAGCATGGAATAAGGGGCTCAACGGAGGGCAGTAGAGACATGCAAAAAGAAGCTGGACAGCCCTCTGAGAGGGATGGTGTAACGTGGTGTCCTGCAACAGCAGGGGGTTGGGCTCAATGGCCTTCATGGCCCCTTCCAACTCTGCTCTTCTGTGATTCTGAGTATGACAACAGAACCAATGGCCTAGGGAGGTCATGGTTTCTCCTGCACTAGAGACATTCAAGATGCGGCTGGAGAGCCGTCTGAGACGGATGCTTTAACCAGGAGTCCTTCACTGAGCGGTGGTTGGGCCTGGCCTCTTCCAACTCTACTATTCTATGATTCCGCGACTGATCCACACTGTGGTTAAAAGGGAAATAAAGAATGAGCCTCTTATTAAAGAAGCAAAAAAATAAAAAATCAAGCGTCCAAGCAGCCCTTGCAGCTGACTGTCACTGGTTGGATGTGCCCGGCCATGAGTGTGAGCCCGGTTTGCTTCCTGCCACTTTTTCCCCTTTTAACCTTTATTTCTATTTTTGGAGACGATGCTCTACAGTTCAGTAGTTTCTGTGATCTCTCTTTTGGCAGAACGTGACAGCCCTTCCAAAGAGTTTAAGTGGCACATCAGGGGGCTGTTGGTGGTTGATAACCTCTTAAATTGTTTGCTTATTTGTGCTCACAGTGTGTGCAAATATTTTGGTACATTAAAAAATAATTTAACTACACTTTCACAACGGCAGAGGTGCACAGTTCCCTGAGTGCAAAACTGGGAAGCCTCAGCTGGGCAATGTCAGGGGAAACCCAGCCTTGACATTGACCCAGAGAAGGTTCCAAATGGGGGTTCTTTCCTTTGCATGCCATGGGTCTACCTAGGCCAGTGTTGTTGACACGGACTGGCAGTAGTAGGCTCTCCAGGGGTTTCAGCACATTCCCGGCTGGACCCACCAGTGCTGGCTTCAGGCCAGGACCCTCCTTCAGCGAATCTACCTGCTCTTGCTCCCCCTCCTCTTTCTCATCCTCACGACCTGTATCTTGCTGGACAGAGACAGGTGGGGGCAAGGAGGCTGCTGCTCCGCCTTCTGCCCAGGTTTGTTACCTGGGGCACAGCCACTGCTAGGTGAATGGAAGGGTTGCATGGCAAAGAGGAGGAGCAATTCCAGGGGGCATCTGCCAGTGGTCCCTCACCAGGTGCACAACCACGTGCAGGGCTTGGCACCTGGAGATGCCTGATGTAGGTTGGCCTGGGGCCTTGTGCGTGTGAAGCAGGGGCTGCCCCTCAGCTGGTCCAGCTCAGTCAGGCTGCCCTTAGACTCACTGCCCTCATTTTCCAGACCCCTTAGTAAGACCCTGATATCCGCTTGTTTGCTGCAGGTGGCTGGTACACTGGGCCCAGACTGGCCAGGCTCCGGAAAAATCTGATGATATTTACTAGCTCCCTGGAAACTTTTGCCCATGTCTGGGGTACGTGCAATTTCCCTGGCTGCGGAAGGAGGAAAGTGGCGAGCAGCTGAGAGTGACAGAGTCCCTCGGAGCCCAGGCAGATGGGACATTGCAATCCCTTGATGTTCGCCCGAAGGCTGCTGTGCGGAGGCTCTGGTTTTGCTCAGGGCAGCTGCGCTGGGGTGGCTGTTTCACCTTCCCTTCACACATATTGCTCTGCAGATACGATGCAGCAATTAGTGCAAGAAACAGGGAGAGAAATCCAGGTTCCTTGCAGGAGGAAAAAAGAGGGCTATAAATGCAACAGAATCATAAAGAGCCTGGCCTTTTCCTCCCATGCAGATTCTGAGTGGGAGAAGAGGAAGGGAGAAGTCACTGAATTTGTGCTGTTCCTCCGATTAAAGCAGGAGTCTCCCACAGTTGCTTCAAGTAAAGCAGAACCCAGTGGCTGATTTCCTGGGCCAGACTGGTTCCGGCCCTTCATTTGGACGTTCCTTTATTCTTGCATTGTTCTAGAGCAGCTTCCCCCAAGCTGGGGCCCTCCCCATGTGTTGGAGTGCAACTCCCACCATCCAGTCAGCTTATTATGTGCACAATTTGTCACAGGTCCAGCTGGGTGAGTCTGATGGGAGTTGTAGTCCAAGACATCAAGAGGGCATCACATTGGGGAAGGCTGCGTGGGAGCTGCAAAGAATGGGGTGAGAGCTAAAGAGCTGAATGAACCCGGGAAGCGTCTTTGTCCCTTCCCTTTGAAAGGATTCTGGGCACACTGTCCATGTCCAGGGGTCGTTTTCTTGAAGGGGGGATCAGCTCTCCCTGTATGCAGCAAGTGACACAGCTAAGAAGCCATTCTGCCCCTGAGGCCATAGAGAACAGGGCCCTGCGTTATCTGGAGCTGAAAAGCAATCCAAACACAATCTGAGATGTAGAACACTTGTATCAAAGAACTGTATACATTTGTACATTATATATGCATAGTTTTGATTCTTGAGCAGGAGCAAGATAACACGGTATGCTCTGGCCTCTCCTGCTTTGGAGATTTGCGCAGGCATGGCTTGCACAATCTTAATGCCAGTCTTAAGGGCTAGAAACTTGCCTGATTTCATCTCCCCTCCAAAGCACGTTCCTATTCTCACAAGGCTTACTTCTGAACAAACTACCAATTTATGCAATGAATGTGTGTCTCCTGCAGTCACTAGTATGCAAAGTCTAGCAATTTGCTAACATTATGCTTGACTGGCAACATGCTCAGGAGACAGAGAGACTTTGCAATGGAAAATGTTTGCCATGGGTTTGGCACCATCTGGCTCAGGGGCTCATCAGTCAAGTTATTATTTTTTAGACACTTGGATGAGAAATTAATTGTCTGGCTTTGCCTTTTTGTAAAAGCCTTGTAATTATTTGTAGATTTGCATACATAGATATAAATCAACACATGCTGTTTTTATGCAGATCTGTGCCTTATGAATTTAGGGTGCCTAGCAGTGTTCTTTCAATTGGCTTGGCTTGCATTCTCTCTGCAGGAGTTTGGGGGCGGTGTGTGTGTGTCTGTGCACGCACACGCACGTGTTCTGAGACCATTGTCTCTTTTCAGGTTTTCCTGAGAAACTGGGCTTTTATTTTCTGTGCGGGGTCTCAGGAGGGCTGGTGCTTCTCCTCCTTTTCTTTGTCCCCAAGACAACCTTCTTGCAAGACTTCAAGGAAACCTTCAAGCCTGCAGAGAAGAGTGACAGCCTGGAGCTGGAGACGACCAAGCTGCAGGGTGAGCAAGATGAGAACCAGGATGACAGCTCCTCCGACTCCTCCTTCCACCGCCTGTCCCACACCTACCGTAACTCCAACAACATCTTCGGGCCAGAGCTGACGGCCGCCTTCGAAGGAGCAGACCAACGAGGCCATGAGGGAGACGAGATCTGGATACCCAAGGAGTCCAGCCCGTATGCCATCCACAAGATTAAGTCTGCCACCAAATGAGATGGACCGGCTTTGGGAACGGGGTCTGTGGTACAAACACCTCCGGGGGGCTCTTTTCAGGGGACGTGGCTCCTCAGCAGGTGCCCAAGGAAGCCCACTGCGGCACTGTCCGGCTGAGGGCCAAATTCAGTTTTGGAGCAGCTCTTGGCAGGCGCATTCTGGTGGTGCTGGAATCTGTAGGCAACAGTGACAGAGCCAGAGGCCAAGCGGGCTGGCCCCCAGTTCCCTGGACATCAGCACAGCGGTGTGGTTCAAATGCGAAATCCCACTGCCCTTGCACACGTCTACCGAGCTCAGGGGCACCGTATGCCCAAACAAGGCACGTAAATGGGAGCTGTTGCATCCCTTGCGCCCCATGTTCACCTACATGGCGATCTGCCATTGAGCTCGATCACTGGGGAGGGGAGGAACCTGGGGCCCAGAGAGGAATCAGCCTGCCCCTGGCTCCCCCTCCCCCCAACGCCTCCTTTCTCGCCCCTCGAAGACACATTTGAAAACTTGGGGGAAACCGCTGGCTGCGCTCTTTTTGTGCTGGCAGCAGGCAGAGTTCCACCTCTGAGATTATGGGGTTGTGGGAATCGCACTCTGAGCAATCCCGTGTGCCCTCTGCCCTGCCCTGGACCATGTCGGGCGGCCATGCATGGTGCCCTGAGGCTTTTGCTCCCCGACAAAAGGAGCAGCATTTCAGCCCTTTGAAATTATTATTATTAGAACATTTCTATGCCACAATGTGGGGGAAATGCCACAAAAGGTAGGTAATGGTCAGCGGCGGGCAAAAGGTGGCCCCAGAAGGCCGGAGGAGGATCCCAGGAGAGGTCGATCCCAGGAGATGGCTCCTTGCCATATTACCTCCCTGACGTCAAAGTGTTATTAAACACCCTTCCACCTGTGGAGTGCGCCAGAGGCCCACCTTGATGGCGCCATGGCGGGCCACTGCAAAGGGGATCTGATCTCCTGGAATGCTCCTGTCCCCCGTGCCAACACCAAATTCCTTACATTCGTGCATCACCGTGTGGAACAGAATGCCTTTTTAAAAGAAAACAAAGAAAAACCCAAGGCATGCCGTCACTTGTTGTATCGCATCGGAATCTTCCTTGTTTCTGCCACAGGCTCTGTTCTAAAATGCATTTAAGGTGCTTCAGAAATGAGTTTGGCTAGAGCCCACAGTGGGGTGAAAAATAATTACTGTGGGCCTGTTCTTGTTGGTCAAGCATATATATTTGCCTTCCCCAATCTGGCTTCCTCCAGAAATTTGGACAACAGCTCTCATCATCACCACATAGCAGCAATGCTGGCTGGAGTGATGGGCATTATAGTCTAGCAAATCTGGGGGCTGCCAGGTTGTGAAAGGCACAAGTATCATTAGTCTTGCTTTCTTCTTAAAATATAAATAAATGACAAGCATCCTTGGAGTCTTGTCAACCACAAAACTTTCCCCATCTGCTCTCAAAATCTCCTCTCTCCATGATGCTTTTCAACTCAGAAAAGGTGTTCTTCCCTACAGGAAGAGCAGCAGCTGAGCCAACACGTAGCAGGAAGGCAAAATGTTCTCTCAGTGTTCCTCACGCTTGCCCTGAGCTTGTCTCATTTAGAGAAGATTACAGGGAGGCATGGCAGGCAGAAGAAGATGGAATGGGCTTGTTCTCTCTTGGAACCAGCAGCTGAAAATGGCAGGAAAGCAGATTTAGTTAAACATCAGGAGAACAAAATGTCCAAGTGGCTCAGCGGTGGACTTGGGCAGCAGAGCTGGAGAGGCTGGTCCCTTCTAACTCTTACCGTTCTCTGGTTTAAAATACTACTAACATGATTGCTGCCAACTACTACTAAGCTTAACGGGTGAATAGACATGTCCAGCACATTCCAGGACCAGTTTTATGACTCGACCGACAGTGTGTCTAGCTCAGGACTGAAGAGAAGGGCCCTGTATGTGGGCCAATTTCCAGTGGACCAGATTTCATCATTTGGTGCTGGGTTTCTTGGGAGGATTCGATGGGCCAACTTTTGTCTAACCTAGCAAGGCATTTTGAAGGCTCTCGGGCAGCCTTCCCCACCTGATCTTTTCCAGCTGTTTGGATTTCAGCTTCTGCTTTTTCCCAGCCAGCATAGCAATCACTGGAAATAATGGGAGTTGAACTCCAACACACCTGGAAAGTATCGGGTTGGGTTTTTTTAAACGCGAGAGTATGCCTTCGAAATGGCTTAATACAGCATTGCTTACTTACGCTGCTCTTGCTAAAAGTGTTCTCAGTCAGTGCTCCTGTCTTTGTGTTAAGGGAAGGTATGCAAGAGGTTTATGGCTCAAAGGGGCAGAACCCACTCCAGCTCAGTGGGTCAATGCTTGCTTTGCCTGAAGAATGCCCCAGAACTGCCCGCTGTATACCTACACAAACTGGATGTATATCACATCTTTGCTAGACTAGCCTGGTGTTGTGCTTTGCAATCCTTTATCTAAAGAGCTGTCAGGACAAGGCTCTATCTGAGTGTGTCCCTGCCTGGTGGGCTGCCCACACCAAGCGTGGCTTCAAGTTTATAAAAATTGTCAGGGAGAACAGGACCCTTGCTGTTGCCCACTGAGGATTAGCACCTCCAGAGCTGACAGAGGGGGCACACTGGCTTCATAAGCAATCTTTCTCACTCTGGCAAGATGTGTCTCTTGCAATTTAAATGATCATTATCATCTCTGCATTTGCATGCATGTGTATAATTTGTTTTGGCTTCCTAAGTGGCACTCCTAGTTCTGACTCACAAACATTGCAGTGTAAATGCAACCTCCAGGCTCCCAGGCAGAGAGAGATTCTGGTTTAAAAAAGCAGGGAAAGGTTTGAAGGAAGGTCTGTCTGATTTCAATAGGTAATCTTCCCCCACTGTAAATATTAATGTGGAAAATTTCTAATGTTATGTTATTCCAGCCACATCTTTGTAACCTCTGCATGATGATTGTGCAAAAAAGATGCAAGTTTTGAGAAAATGGGGAGGGGGGTAAGGATGCTGCCTTAGGTAGATCAATTGTTCTTCTGCCAGCATTTTAAACCTCATTTTTCAGATAGGCTTGTGATTAAAATGTGGCAGACCCTGCTTCCTTCTCTGGATCTATCTAACAGGAGAGCATGCAAAGAGCTTTAAAGAAAAGCTGAAAATAAAACATAGTGCAAAATGTAAAGTTGGCCACATATTTTGAAAAATAAGTAACTTTTATCTTGCAGATGAATTCCAAATAAAGTTAATATTTGTGGTTTAAACATCTTAGGTTAGATCAAGAGTTCTTCACATATAGAAATCAATGGAACTTAAGGACTGGTTTGCATGTCACAAGAGCCTGTGGATCATTCCACCCAAGGACTGTACACCTATTGCTTTTCTGCTTGCAGTTAACAACCTCTGACCCCATTTGTAGGTTGTTAATGTGACTTCTGAACCTGGCTACTCTAGGCTGTTTGGTGTTAAACAACCCAGAATTAACCTGTGATTTGTTGCTGGGTGAACTCTGGGTTGTTTGACCTCTAAATAATCCAAAGCAACCAGGTTTGGACATCAGGCTAACAACCTACAAACAGGGTGACTGTAGGTTAACTGAATGCACAAGCCACGTACATGTCAGAGAGAGCTTGCTCGCCCCACTAGATTTCAAACCAAGCCCAAATTAATTCAGAGTATCTTAATTCTCACTGATTGCAATCTGGATCCACCTGCATAATTTTAAGTTTACGTATGCTACAAGTTTTCCTGTGCAAGAACCTCTAAAATGGCATTGGAAAAACTTGCAGAAATCTGCTCCTGTTCATTATGGCTGCATTAAGCCATCTCTATTTTTAGAAAGGCCCCTCATTCTAAATGCAGTGGCATCCATCACTGGAAATGATGAGGAAAACAGAGCAAGTACACATTCAAATATTTCCAACCAAATGGAGCATTTGCTGGCTTTCCCACCTCCACTGCCATTCATTTCCATTCTTCCTAAGAGGCGACTCGGTTTTTCACCTCTCCAATTTTTCTATTAATATCTTTTTCCTGGTTGCCATTAATAGTTCTGTCAAGTGGTCCTACAGTTCCTTTCAACATACATCTCTTTGCTTGAACAATCATGTTCCAAGAGAACTGAAGCAATTTCTTTGCAAATGATGCTTCTTTCTTGTGTGTTCTAAAGCAACCGAAATGGCAGTGCCAAAAGGAGGCACAACAGCCTTTGGACCCTCTGGATCATGTCCATCTCTCTTCTCTGAGTGATTTATGTCCTAGAGTAGCACTACTTTATGTGTGATTCCAAGATACCTTCCAGGTGACATTTTTCTTGGTACACAACAAAGCTCTCAAGACTGCAATTTAAAGCAGAAAGCCAAAGCTTAACCCATCCCCCCTGCACTGTTTGCCAGCCAGTTGGAACCATGTCTTTTCAGCAAAAAAATGCAGCAACAGTGGGGATTTTGGGTAGCGAAGTAGCATGAGGGTAAGAGGCCGAGAACCCCGTCACCCTGTGCCCGCCCCGTGCTCCCTGTCGTGCCTGCTGTGACGTCACCAACCTCGCCTCAGAACGAGGAGTGTGTGTTTTCTTTGATTTCCCTTGTATGCATCCGTGTACATTGCCAATTAATGCATCAATTAATCTTCTCAAATGCACATTGGGTGGAAACCTTAGAATGAGGCGGGCAATCCACCAAAGCAACGGAATGCAGGAGAACCGTGAATAAAGAACCCAAAACAACCTCCATGTTCAAGCATCTGATCTGCCTGAAAATCGTGCAGCACTGCGATCTGCTCTGAGTGTAACAATAGCACTTCCCCCTGCCTGCCCGCCCCCTTCCCATGTACACAGACTTCAGCACGCTGAGGAAGCCATTGTTTTTTTTAAAGACATTTAGATGTATTACCAAGCTTGCAAGGAGTTAAAAAGTACAACATTCAGAAATATAAAAAAGTCTCTTGATGCATTTCCAGATACTGTACAGTGGCAAGAATTGGAATTCAAAAGGGGGTGTTGTGCACTCCCAGTCGCAAACTTGAACCAACAACACACAGAAGAGTCCCCGCAAAAGCTTCCATCTTTCTTGTGACCAGCTCACAATAAGACAGACTAATGCAAATACAGAGATAGCTAGGTTGAGGGTGCTTCCAGATGAGGTTGTGCGATTCCCCTGCTCCATTCACCGGCGGAGAGCGGCTGCTGTCCTCTTCCAGCGACAGCCCTCCCATGACTTCTTCTTCTTCTTTCCCTCCCTGCTCCTTTCCTTACTAGCATGGAACATCAGTCAGGGAAGGAAAGCGGGACCTGGGGCACAACATCTTCTGACTGGAAGTGCTAGGAGCACTGTCTGGAAGCACCCTAAGGACAGGTAGGAAATTTAGGTTACCTGGCTCTATCGAATGCCTTGGGAGAAAAAGCTCTGTCTAAATCCACTTAGGTGTAGAGCAAGGAAAATGGATTCCCAAGAAATGCAGACTTACCCAAAATGGAGTAGCAGTAGTTACTCCATCAGTGTGAAAAAGGAAAAAGAACAATAACATGGTTAAAGAGGCAGGGGAAGACCCAGGCATTCTCTCGCAAAGTGAGGATTTTGGTTTTTTTAAGGACATGGTGTAAGGATTCGTGATTGTTTGCTATTTTTCCTGCAATCCTAAGCAGAGTTATTCAGAAGCAGACCGAGCCGAGTTCAGTAAGATGGTCACCTTCGTAATCATGCCTAGGATGGCAGCCTAAAAAAAAATTCTGCTATAGAGGAAATAAAAACTGTGGGGAGGCCCGAGGCAGCTCTCTGAAGGCGAACGTGTATGCAAATCTCTTGCTGGCAGGAGTTTGGCAGCCTAAACTTTGCAGCCCAGTCAAGTGCAGGCTCTGCTACAGCCAACTGCACAGTTTCGCTGCCTCATTCTTCATTTTTTCCCTGAGCAGTCCTATGCAACAAGGTGTGATGGCATTTCCATCGTCTGCCTGGCTACGCACGCACAAGATGGAGGCTCCCCTCTGAGATGCCTCGTTCGACGTCCACCCTGCCCTCTGCTTTGCTTTGCTCCTCCTTACATCCCTGCTGTACATGTGCGGTCAAAATACATTCATCGGATGAGTGAAAGTGCTTTTCAAAGCCCTTCATGGGGAAATCCAGATAAATTGGCTGAAGGATGAGGACTGTCCCTGCCTCAGGATGCTGCCACCTTCAGTGATGATTCCGCTATCGGAAAGACACTGGAGGATTTTAAAGTACATTCGGACTGGTCGGCAATTTTGTTTGACTGGGAGAAAGAAGATCTCTCACATTCATTTCGTTGGCCCGGTCATGAGCGAACGATACATTCACATTTCTGCAGCAATGACCAGCGGTGCCAATTTGCTGCGCAACCCATAAATGTTCTCTCTTTGGAACTGTTACTGTAGGTACAGGTTCCATCTTGCTACTTG